TTTTAAATTGTGTTAGTGATTGTATTTACATATTTGGCTAGAAATGGAATTCAGTGTTTTAGTAGTAATAGACATGGAAAGAAAATTGCTTTTAAATGTTTTCTTTTTACTGGAATCTGTGTGTCTCCCAAGTTCCTTGAAGATAATAGTTATATTCAGGTTTATTTATGAGATCTGTCCTCATGCAGTTCTTAGATAACTTGGAGAAAATGACAGAATTATTGATGTGGGTACTGCTAATATGTTCCAGTGAAAGATTGACATTACTGACCAAATGATGCAATTATTTGCATTAATCTTCTATTCTTTGAAGACTAAACCAATGTGTAGAGACAATTTCTTAAGACATGCAATGCACTTCATTTATAAGTTTTATTTTAACTTTGCTAAGCACACATTATTTAAGCCAAATGGAAACATTTGGTTCTATTTTGTACCATGTTATTAAAACTGCTTTGTATATAATCTCACTCACTTTTATACTTTTGAAAACATCTGTTTACATAATTATAGTTTGCTATTCTTAATGTGGTACAAAATTTGTCTTCATCTTTGTATTCCTTGTGTTAAAAATAAAAACAAAGCCAGTTTACTCCATAGTTGTATTTGTTAAATTTTTGATTTTATCAGTGTTATTATATATGAGAGCCATTAAATGGTGTTAGTCAACTGTTATTGTCAACTTGGTAAAAGAGTAGTTAAACTCTAGAGTTAGTTCAGAATGGTGTTTTATCCAATAGTTTCTACTTTTCCTTATATGAACCTTTTTGTTTTTTAAAGTATCAGTTCTTATATGGAGAGACATTACTTATCAAAATTGTTTCCTCCACTATAGGGCCTATCTGGGTCTGCACCAGGTCGTCTGTTTGTTTTATAGCTTTCAGTTTAGTATTGTATGCGACCCCTGAGTGTGTGAATGAGTGGCTCTCTGATTCTTGTGACTTCTGGGGCTCTTTGCCCTCTGTTGGTTTGCCTTGTCCAACTTCACTGTGATGGTTTTTGTTTTACCTTATTATATTTTATGATGTTATGTTTGTTGTTACCTCTTAGAAGCCTGTTCTTTTCTAATGAATGCCTGAACGTGAGTGGATCCTATGCAAGGGAGGTGGTGAGGGGCTGGGAGGGGAACTGTAATCCGGATGTGGTGTATGAGAAAAGAGTCTATAACAAAAGGGGTGGGAAGAACCATAGACTAATGGGAAGGAGAATGGATTTGGCTACGAATTTGTCCTACTATGAGAAGATGAACAGTGTTAGATATTAACAGTCAAAACGAAGGTATTTATTCTATAATAGCTTCACCTAAGAAATGAGGATATTGTTTACTGAAGTTTGGATTTGGACAAATAAGCACCCTTTGACTGTCTCAGAGGCATACATCCTTTTTTCTTGTTGTAAGAAAATGGTTAACATTCTGGCTTCTCTTGTGTCCACTCTCCCCTCTTTTAAAAGTTCCAGTCACCATATTGCTAGTGTGGAAGTGAAGTTGAAATTGAGCACAAGGTATTTTTAATTTTATGACAAGCAAAAAACAAATAACTTAAAAAATGCAGTAAGTCTTTTCAGAAATCCATTTTTCTTGGCTGAACTGTTCTGTTCTCCTTTGTCAATCACTTCTTCCTCCCATCCCAATCTGTGGCAAGCCTAATCCTTACAAGTGACTAGAATTGCTACATGTTCCTTTGAGAAAATAGAGAAGGAAAAACCAAACACAACGGTGTGCTGCATTTCTTTTGGCTCTAGGGACCCATCTAGTACAGACCCATGCAGGCATACTGCCTCAGTCCGAGTTCATCTTGTATCAGTCCCGCTGTGTTTATGAGGCCTTGGTTTTTGTTTTTTTTTTTTTTTTTTTTTGTATCCTCTGTCCCCTCTAGCTCTCCCACTCCTATTCCACAGGATTCCCCTCAACACTGAGGGTGAGGGATTTGATGGAGACACTCCTTTTTAGTGTTCTGAAGTCTCTCACTCTGCATATTGTCTGGCTGAAGGTCTATTTATTCCCATCTGTTGCATGAGGAAATTTCTCTGACGATGGCCGAGCAAGGCACTGATCTGAGAGTATAGCAGAACGTCAGTAGTGGTCACTTTGTTGCTATGGTCCTTTTGGAGAACAGTAGTTTTTGGTTTTCGCTTAGATATCTGGTCTCAGGTTCTTGATAACCCAAGCAGTATAGAGTATGGGTTCCATCTCATGGAGTGGGCTTTAAATCAAATCAGTGTAGCACTGTTTCTTTTGCATCGATGGACTGAAGACTTAAGCTGATTTTATGTCTTGACCTACGGTATGTAAAGTGGCTGTGAGTAAAACCAAGTTTCTTGAATGACATCCATCACAGTGTTTGTCAGTACTTGGAAGGAAGTCTCTTGGAGTGTTCACCTCCTGTAAAGCCTCCTTCCTGTATTGGTAGCTGGATTGGGCCAATGATCCCTGAGCAGCCGTAGCATTTCTCTGAGCAGCTCCAGGTATCTCTAAGGAAACGGCTTCTTATTGAAAGCCCCCACGGTTTTGTAGAACGGCACGGCTGAAGTTGTGGTTGCTGCCAGTGGGTTACACCTTCAAGCATGGTAGCAGAGGTGGCTCCTTTCTGGTTTCCATCTTTGCCTTACCTGGTATACTTACTTGGTTTTGTTCCCCATAGCTTCCAAAGAGACAGGGAAAGGGTTTGGCAGGTTTGAGTCAATCAGCCCAACAACTCATTCCTCGGTAATTCCAGTCATTTAAATAGGAAAAAACATCAAGGGGTGCTTACAGTATAGATTTAACATGAAATCAGCATTCTTCAGTGAGCTAAGCCTTTGCCAGATACCCTTTGGGAAGGTTGGGTCCTTCTGATCTGCCCAAATAAAAATGTGTAAAACGTACAGTAAGCTGAGCTACCAGGCACTTCTTTCATCTTTTTTTGGTTTGAGACTTAACTGGTAAACTAATAACGTATTTATCTGTTTTAGATTTCTGTGTAAGTTTAAAACTATGATGTATTGGTATGTAATAAATTGTGAGAAATGGTTAGGGGTAGCTGCAGGAGGCAACTGTGTCTGGAGTAGTCGTGGAAGTTCTAAGTGTGTTAGTTTAGATGCCAGTTAGTTAGATGCCAGTTCCTAAACCTAAGGTGGGATATTGAGAGGTGTGTGTGTGTGTGTGTGTGTGTGTGTGTGTGTGTGTGTGTGTATGTATGCGCGCGCGCTCTTGCTGTGGGGAGGAGGGATGAGTGGGCATGTGTTTAATTTTTACTATTTTGCAACAAATGGCTTCAGTGTAGTTTTGTAGGCTAACCTTCACCTACTGATGAAACTAAACACTTAATTGAAAGCTTAATAACTATTTATGGCTCTTATGTAGCTATTTTTCACAGTCATACGTTTTAGAAATCTAGAAACGTTTTCCAGAAACTTAATTTTCCACTTAAAAATTCACATGCAATATGTGAAAATAAGCCTAAGAAAACTTAAAATTATGAATGGAAAGGAGATACTTAAAGTCTAAAGAATAATAGAGTTAGGGCTTGTTTTTATGCTCATGTTCGTGTCTCTGCAGTGTTCTCCAGAATTTTTTGGCTATTATGGAAATAAATGCCATTTACAGAAGGTCAGTTTTTATATGCATATGAAGTGTTAGGAAACACTTGTCTTCTTACCACGTGCCTGCAGAGGCCCAGAATAACCAGTGCCCTCCAGGCGCTGCCTGCATCCCATTCCCAGGCAGGGTTCTCTGGTCACACCCCCGTTTCTCAGTACCAGACCTGCCTTAGTTCCATGATCGATGTAGAAGTTTTCAGTCAATAAACTTCATAAATGCTTAATGCTCTGTATTCCTTTTAAAACCTTAAAAAATCTGACATTTTTGAGGTTTATCATCGGGTATAAGGCTTTTTGAGGCAGTCTTGTTTTTCTTATTGTAAACAACCTTTTTTCCATTGTCGAAGCCTTTGTATTTTAAAGACCATTTGGAGAATGTGCATGTTTTCATGTTTCTTGAACATTTTTTTTCTTTCAAGTACACACTCATTTTTTTCTGTTTGTCCTTTCTTACTGATACTTCCATTTTATGTAGATAGACTCTTGCTACTTACCATAGACTGACCCTGAACTCATGACCCTCCTGCCTGAGCCTCCAAATTATGTGATTATAGACCTACATATCATTCACAGAAACATTTACATTTTTTTTTTTTTAAATGGGTCTTCTGCACTTGGAATCTCAGCTACTCAGGATGCTTCAGGACAGTCACAAGTTTGAGGCCAGCAATGGGCTATTTAATGAGATGCTGTCTCATTAATTTAAAAAAAAAACACTTTGATTTATTGCTAAAATTTTATTACCATATTATTTTGTTAATGAAGAACTTTTCATTGATTTTACTGCTATTAAAATATGCAAAGTGAGAACTCTTTGAATTCATTAGTTTTAAAGTCTTGAAGTTAGGGAAACATTTCCAGGAAAGCAAGACCAGCAGAATGACTAAGGTTCTTTTCTTTCTGTGTGTGATGTATGCTATAAATATGGGAATGCCTGCTCTTGTGTGCTCATGTGGAGGTCAGAGCAGGATGTTGTCTGGTATTGTACCTATGGATCCCTGTCTACCATGTTGTCTTGAGAATGGTTTCTCACTGAACCTGAAACTCAGTTTTGGCTAGGGTACTGGCTGTCCAGGGGTCTTCTGGCTCTGCCCTCCAGTGCTGGGGCATGCACTGCTATTTGGATTTTACGTGGATGCTGGGGGATTTGAACTCAGGTCCTTGTGCATGGGTAGCAAGTGCTCTTACCCACTCACTGATCTATCTCCCCCAGTCCTGACTAAGGTTCTTAAAGATTGGTTTGTAACCATTTAGTGTGGGTGTGGCATGGTATTCTCTGAAACTGTTGCCAGTATCATTTGACAAACCGAGGGTGTGATTTCTGTAAGCTTCTATTAACAACTGCATAAGAATTAGAGTGTAACTAGTGTACAGTCAGGATGTTTTAGTTTCTAATACTTGCCTTTCCTTTCCCTAATTAGGTCCCCGATGGGCTTCCTGGAATATTGGTGTGTTTATTTGCATCAGATGTGCTGGAATTCATAGAAATCTTGGTGTTCATATATCCAGGGTCAAGTCAGTCAATCTAGACCAATGGACAGCAGAACAAATACAGGTAAACCTTACTTAACAAGAAATTATTATATTTTAAATGATTTAAAGATACTTAATCTTTCTTGTGTCTAAGGATTAATATTAAAATACTTGCTGAAATGACACATGCCACATCAAAAGTCTGAATGCTATTCACTGATGTTAAATTCTTGTTGAATCTGTGGTAGTCATTTTTAAATGTGTGTGTTTTAAATATGTGTGTGTGTGCGTGTGTGTTTTAAATATATGTGTATACACACACACACCCCCCACACACAGAGAGTCTAAAATGTTGATTTCGTAGTATTTAAAAATGTTTGAATTGGGTTGGTGAAATTTGCCACTATTATTTCCATAGTTTAGTACTCCTGCCAGTAGAGGGAGTCTGGGTAAAGATAAAGGAAGAAAATCATCTCTTGCCTGAAAAATGACTTGAAGACTTTCTTGGTGTTTGGAGAGAGGCTAGTAGTAGATGACAGTCCAGTGAGAAAATGTTGTTTTGTCCAGTGTTGGTTTGTATAGAGTAGTTAGCTTTGTCACAGATAACTTTGTCAGAGTTTGCTGTTTTTCCAGGGTGACAGTCTTAAATCTTTAAAATGTTACTTTTTAATCCTTCAGGTTAGCCGCCTATGTAAAAACAATTTTATTGGTGTTACTGTGTAATTCATAGTGAAATCACACTGATTTGTATTATGTCCTTTAAAGGTGCCATTACAGAATTCTGAATATATCAATATATAGCCGTCTTTTGATACCACAAAGGATTATTTCCAGGATGGCTGCTGGGCAGGCATCCACTGATGCTCAAGTGGAGTAACATTTGCACACAGCCATCCATACTCACTCTTGCACGTGCTTTAAATCATTCCTCATTACACTATTGGATACCATGTAGATGACATGCAAGTAGCTGTTGAAGGAGTAATGACAAGAAAAGAAGCACACATGCACATATAATACATATGTTCAATACACATGTGGGCTTTCCCTCTTACTGTCAGTCTGTAGTCGGTAAAAGACTACAGAGCTCAAAGGTACAGAAGACAATGGTGTGTGGTGACTTCAGGGATGCGAAGGCATACCGCAGAATGAGAAAAAGCACACCTACAAGGTTGTGGCTTAAGGCAACAGAATCTGCAAAGACCTTCAGGCTATAAAGCCACGTATTTAGTGCTGTCTTAAAATTATCTTCTGATATTTTTGCTGATAAAGGCCATACAAGGAAATAATCCTTTTAGTATTTTCAAAATCCCAGAGGAGAAACATATAAATTAGATCAGAGAAGGAAAACTTTAAAAAAAAAAAAAAAAACTTTTATTTATATTTTCTGTATGAGTGCTCTGCATGTATGTATACCTGCATGCCAGAAGAGGGCATCAGATCTGTTTTAGATGGTTGTGAGCCACCATGTGGTTGCTGGGAATTGAACTTAGGATCTCTAAAAGAACAGCCAGTGCTCTTAGCCCCTGAGCCATCTCTCTAGCACAAGAACTTTTGAACACTTCATATGAGACAATATTCTTACTACCATCCCTGTAGGAGATGTGGTAACTAAATGATATGTTGATTGTTATATAAAGAATGTAATATTAGCTGAGTATTTGACATTACAAGTTAAAGAACAGAGTTGTTCAATATTTGATGTTATAAACATCAGTGCTAAGAATGCCATTTTATATAAATAAATAGCACCAAATGACAGAAGTATGTTTAGGGCCATTGCAGAAATTTTTGGAACATCTGTTCTAATCTTAAGCCAGAATTCGTTTTATGCTTTATGTGGAACTCATATCAGTTTTTCAAGCCGAACACTGTAACACGGAAAGCAGTAATGGTAGGAACATATCAGAAATCTGTTTTTGTTTTTTGGGTTTTTTTTTTTTTTTTTTTTCTGATTATAACATATGTTCACACAAGGGAAGGACACTTTGAATGTACAATGGAAGCCCTGATTTATATCATACTGTAGTCATCTTGAGGCCTAGCCTAGGTGGTTCAGGCAGTATTCATTGGCACTAAAGGATGTAACATCAGATGCAGTTCAAAGTGTGTATGTTACATGTTCAAAGCCTAGCCTGCAGAGAAGTCATGAGAATCCCAGAAGCAGATTGGATTCATTGCGCATTTGGCTTTGAATTAATTTTCAGTCTTTACATGTTAACAAACCTTTTATTCTTGCCACATTTTTTTTTTTTTTTTTTAAATGCTTCTCCCTATTCAGTTCTGTGCTTTTTGTTTGAGATAGGGCTTCTCTGTGTAGCTTTGGAGCCTGTCCTGGAACTCAACAGAGATCCATCCATCTGCCTTTGCCTTCTGAGTGCTGGGATTAAAGGTGTGTGTCACCACTGCCTGCCTCAGTTCTATGCTATTACTATTACTAGTATTATTTTAGGGAAAAATAATAGAATTAATGTCCCTTATCTCAATTTTACTCAGTTTGGGGGAATGGGAAATATATGGGCATTGAGCAAACCTCTAAGATTATAACACTGTGAAACGAATTCTCTCTCTCTCTCTCTCTATTTTTGAGACAGGGTTTTTTTTTTTTTTTTTTGTATTGCTTTGGAGCCTGTCCAGGGACTCACTCTGTAGACCAGGCTAACTTTGAACTCACTGAGATCCCCCTGCCTATGCCTCCCAAGTGCTGGGATTAAAGGTGAAATGAATTCTCTTAAAACTACTATCAGCCATCCAGTTTTTGTAGAAGCAGTCATGTTAATCAGTTACTTGTGTGTCATTCTTGAAGTACTTTATGAATAAATGTATAAACATTTAGGTGGTATGTTTTTACATCATTATACAAGAATGTTTTGGTCTGGCCATCAGATTCTTCTTTCCTGCAGTCTATTCCTCAGAAAATAAGGTAGAAGTTGTCCATTGTGTGTATGCTCGTGTGTTCGTCTTTGGAGGCTAGAGCATTGTAAAGACCTGGCTGACCAGCCCCTCTGCCTCTGCCTCCCTAGTGCTGGGACTGAAGGAATGCACCACATGTTCTTATGTTTTTGAGACATGCTTTTTCACTGAACCTGGATGTTCACTGACTGGTTTGGCTGGTTGGTCAGTGAACTTCAGGAATCTGTATATATGTGCTGTATGGTGCCTAGCTAGCTCTTTATGTGAGGGCTGGGAATCTCAGCAATTGTTTATAGACTGAGACAGTTCGCCAGCTTTGCCAGCCCTAGTTTAAATAGTTCTCTTTTCCTTCTAGGTTTATCAGAGATAGACAGCATCCTTCTATAAACATTCTTCTATAAACACTGATGTTTATTTAAGATTTTACTGATTATTTTTGTATCTTACAATTTTGCCATAGGGAACTTAGAGGGCATAATTATAGTTTAGTCACTCACAATATCTGCTTTCTGTTATTTTTCAATTCATTTTGTCTCATTTTTAAAAAACAACCAGAGGAGTGTTGAGATGGCTCAGCAAGTGCTTGCAGCATATGTGTGAGCTGAGTGCAGATGTCCCAGCATTGCAGGGTGGAGACAGGCAGATCCTGAGCACTCACTAGCCAGGCAGTCTAGCCAAAGCAACAAGCCCCAGGCCCATGAGAGACTGAGGAACAACTGAGGAAAGACATCAGTGCTAACCTCTGTGGCCTTTCCACAGGCATGTCCAAGTGAGCATACCTGTGCATAACTCCTTCCCCATTCACTCTCCCTCAATAAAAGCACCAGTAAATCTCAAAAGACAAGTACCAAAAAATTAGTGAAGACTATTCAAGTAACTTTCTGATATAATACTAAGTAAAAAGCTTAGTTTTACTCTTAATGTCTGCTGAGCAGGTGGCTCTTAGCATCTTCATGATGAAATGCCAGGGACAGTGCAAGGGTAGACAGGAGGTCATTTTCAGGGAAAGGGAAGATGGGACAGGGCATCCCAAAGATACCCTACACAGGGCTGCTGAGCCTGCAGAACCGTACTTGCAGTTTACTTTTTAGACTAGGACAAATAGAAATTTATGTCTTAATTCTGCTGTTCAAGATTTTGGAATGTTAACACAAAGGGAAAAAAGTCAACAGATTTGGTTCTCAGGAAACAGACTAATTTGGGGTTGATTTGGCCTTGCCTTTTTATTATGTTTCCTGAGACGGACAGTGACTTAAGCCTAGATGCTTTGTGTGCCACTTCAGTATTATTAGCTCACTGGAGATGTTCCATTGACCTGAAACAGTGATTTTTAAAACTAAATACAGCACTGCAATTTAAGTTAAATAAAATTTCCTGTTACTTTGTCCATTTATCCTGCTTATTTTATCTATTCCCACTCTTTTTTAAATTTTTAAAATTATAACTGCATCATCCCATCTTTCCGTTTCTGCTCTCCAACCTCCCTTTTTCTCTTTCAAATTAATGGACTGTTTTTCTTTTGGTTATTGTAATGTGTATGAGCGTGTGTGTGTGTGTGTGTGTGTGTGTGTGTGTGTGTGTGTTAAATATAGATACTGTCCTGCACAGTCTGCATGATACTTGTATGTATTGTATGTTTTCAGGGCTGACCATTTGGTGTAGGATAACTGTTGGTTTGCATGTCCCTGGGGAAGAGACTCTCCCATTCTCAGCATTTCTTAGTTGTCTGAAGTCCTTTCCCCCTTGGCATCTTCATTGGTGCAGTCCTTGTTGAACCTGCTTTATTTTCCCTTAGTTTGATACTTTTACTTATTTTTGTTTTAACGAATTAGGCAAGTTTGGTAACAGATGTAGATTCAAACTTCAAATTAACAACCTCAATTCTTTTCAGGCTCTAAAACATTCAGAACAGAATTATTGAATATAAGTTTTTTCATGTTAAACTAAGGATTAAGTGTTTTGTACTTCTGGAGTTTGAGAAATAGAAGAGCTTCATTTACATTACACTGTAACAACAGTAGGGGCATGGATGCTTTTTGGCTATTCAGCTAGACAGTATTTTGCAGTTGATTACAGTTACAGTTGGTTTTTTTGTTTGTTTTAATTGAATCTGAAATGATGTCTGGCTTTCTGTTGGGTGTTTTATGTGCTAAGTTATGGATTATTTTGAAAATACTAGAAATTATACACCAAAAAGGGTAAAATCCTTCTAGTAACAGGTTATGGTATTCTTAAGTGTTGTTTATACTATAAATGGGTACAGTGTGAATAGAAGATGGTATTGGGATCAAACCTATAGCCCAACAAAGCTTGGCTAATACTTCCCCTTGAGTTCATATCCCTAAGAACGGCAAAAGTAAAAAGTGTTAACTTTACAGTATGTTCTATCTAGATGGAGTATCTTAACTATGAAATACATAGTTCCCTTATAAACCTCAATATACTATTATGTTATAAGTAGACATTGGCATTGTATTCAATATGATCTTGTAGTCTTTTAATATTATCTAGAATCAGAGTACATTTTTCTGTTTACCAGATGCTTGATTTTTATGTGTTTTTTAAAGTCTTAATTTTGAAATGAACTATCCTCCCCCCCCAACTATCCTTCCCCCCCCCCCAACCTCCTCCTGAGACAGGGTTTTTCTGTATTGTTTTGGAGCCTGTCCTGGAGCTAGCTCTGTAGACCAGGCTGGGCTCGAACTCACAAAGATCTGCCTGTCTCTGCCTCCCGATTGCTGGGACTAAAGGCGTGCGCCACCGATGCCGGGCATGAACTCATTTCTTAATGTCTTAGAAAGTATTTTTAAAACAACTATTGACTTATAATCTATACATCTCCCTTCTTTCGTATTTGAAGTCTGGGTGAAATAAAAACAATATTGACAAATGCTATAACCTCACTAAAACAAGGTAATACTCAAAATTCTTAATATATTTGAGTTTTTGAAGGCTTGAGTACAGGTATTTCTCCTCCTAGATAGTGAAAACAGGTTTTTAAAAATGTGTTTTTCAGGGGCATGGGCAAAATGTGTTTTTTAGAACGATGTCTAGTACTTAGATGGTCTGTCTTGATTCCCAGAAATTAGATGGTAAAAATGAAGAAAGCTCATTTTTAATCTCGGCTTATATTTTCTCCAGCTTTCAAATAATTAAAAGTATAATGCTTACCTTTTCTCTTAAAAGTTTTTAAATAATTATTTATTAGGGATAAAATGAGCACAAGGTACCACAAACATGTATGTGGAGGTCAGAGGATAACTTGCAAGAGTTGATTTTCTCTTCTATTCTACCATGAAGGTTTTGGAGATGTATCTCAAGTTACTTAGACTGTGTCCTTTATATGGTGATGGGAGATGTCATTCTGTAAATATGTTTCTCGTATTAGTTAATGAATAAAGCTCTGTTTGCCAGTTACTAGTTTCTTATTGGTTAGCTCTGTCTTAAATATTGACCCATTTCTATTAATCTTAGTACTTCCACATGGTTTCATCTTACCGGAGAGAGGGGTGGCGTTCTTCTCTCGCTGTCCTCCATCTTGACTCTCTTCCCCACTACTTCCTCTTCCTCCTTGTCTCCTAGTCCCTCCTGTCTTGCTTTCCTATTGGCCAACAGTGCTTTATTCATTAACCAGTATGAGAAACATGTACAGAATGACATCTCCCATCAATATGGAAAGGACTAAATGATACAAAACAAAACAAAACTTTACCTCTTCATCTGTTTATCATTCTTTTTACACTGTTGTTACTTGCATCCTGAGAAATAGCAGTCTTGTTTACCTGATAATCAGGAGCTATAGTTGTCCAGATTTGAGTATATCCTGGACTCTTAAACACTAGCAAGCCTTCAGTTGTGAGAATTTGTGGTTATTTTTACTTAAGGAAAACTACTTCTGTGTCCTCTTTAGATCTTCAACTCAAGACCAACACAAAGATAGTTCATAAACCTAGATTGTTTCCTCAGGAGTGTAGGGTCTATGTCTGGGAAATCAGGACAAAGAAACTACATTATCAAAACTGAACTTTTCTTCTAATTAAAATAGTTAAGGAGTGCAAGTTGTCTGTAAATTTTATAATATTAAAATGTTTTGTCAGTAAATTTTATATTTAGTTTGTAATGTAAAATATCAAGGAAATACTATTTGGCTAGTTGCCACTTGTAACTTAAAAAAACACTTAAGATTATACATTTATATTTCCTGAATTCTTAGATTTTAGGGAAGAGGTTTGGTATTAGTTTTGTATATACTGTACCTGAAGTGATGAACTTGTAGGCAGAAAGCATTATTATGTAGCTGACAGTTCCAAGATTGGGGCCTTAAGCTTTTGGCTATATTGAAGCCACTGGAAGGCAATGGTGAGGAGTGCATGGTAAGTCAGCGGGTAGACCATGACCGCCCATGGGCCCACCTATAGGTCCCACTGTCTCCCAATTGTGCCACTTTGAGGAGTAGGCCCTTAAGTAGACCCTTGGCAAACTTTTTAACTACAGCGGCATTCTTTGCACTTCAGAACGTGGATGTTGAGCATTAAGACACAGTGGTGGTTTGCTTTGTTTAAGGAAAGCTTTCAGTAGATTGTCACAGGGTTAATTCCACAGCAGCTAATCTACAGTGCGGAATTCTAGGTCAGCACTCTCTTTACCAGGCTTCCATCGTAATCTTGGCTATAAATTATGAAAATCCTAGAGTAAACTTTGTAGTAAATTTGATCTTTAAGTTGTCAGTCCTGGAAATGGCAGCACTGTTCAAATGTTTTATTTCAGTAAATATTAGAACTACCCACAAAATGCCAGGAATTTCAGTTTTAGGAAGCAGTGAATACAGAGGTAGAGTTGCTTTCACAGAAAAAGACATTTGAGAAATTATGCAGTCATGTGTATAAGATAAAGGGTTGAATATAATGCCTTTATTTGGAACTTGAATAGTTAACCTTGGAGTTAGCATTTAAATTGTTATCTTAAGGAGAAGAATATATGTTGGAAATACTATTATGCAGAATTACTTTTGTTCGTGTGAATAATGAAAGGCCTGACATCTTTTTTTATTACAGTGCATGCAAGATATGGGAAATACTAAAGCAAGACTACTTTATGAAGCCAATCTTCCAGAAAACTTTCGAAGACCACAGACAGATCAGTATCCTTTAAATTTTGTATATTGTGTGTTTAAAAAAGAATTAGCACACTTTAGCACAATATATAAAAGACCCATGACTGATATTGGAGTTCAAGCTTCAAGCTGAAGATCAGGAAAGCAAAGCAGCCAAGCCCGTAGATCTTACCTCTACCCAACCGATATGGCAAGCCTGTCCCCAGGAATCCTCAGAGGCAGAAGGCTCTAAATTCCTGTCTCCTCCTCATATTTCTTTTTCCACCCAGCTATGTCCTCCTGTCTCCACCTCCCTAGTGCTGGGATTAAAGGCGTGTGATCCCAGGTGCTGAGATCACCTTTGTGTGAGCTCTTTGTTTCAGGACTGGATCAATTTCGTGTAGTCAGTGTGCCCTTGAGCTAAAATAGATCTGTCTACCTCTTAATCCTGGGATTGAAGGCATGTACCACCACTGCCTGATCTCTATAGATTGAGGCTGGTTTTGCTTTCTGAATCCTCGGGCAAGCTTTAATAAATCACTTTCATTAAACACACACTTACCATTTAATATTTTATTTTGGTATTTAGGAAAATGGGAGGTGTATCATACTGATTAAAGATGAAAATTACCTGCATGGTGGTGCATAATTATAATCCCACTAATGCTCAAGAGGTAGAGCTGTAAGGTCCTATGTTGTGTGCCACCTTGTGGGTTTGCTACATAATGAGAATCAGGAGTGGGGAATTTAAGCCATGTAGAATGGCTTGCTTAGTATGTATAAGGTCCTTAGTATGTCTCCAGCTCCTAAATGGTGAGAATTGGTTTGCCCGGACTATGATTTGGTTTTTAGTAGTATAAAACCAAATTGTATGTATATGGCAGGACATAGTGATTTGATATATAAAGATAATATTTATGATTTGAAAATAAATTGTGATGGGGGAGGTAGGGATGGGTGAGAAGAAGGGTGGGAGGGAGAACTATAATTGGAATATAAAATGAAATTAAAAATGGGAAAAAAAGTAATGTAGTTTCTTACCACTTGTGTGACCATTGTGGAAAAATTACCTCTTGTAACATTTATTTGATATTTGGATAGAAGCTTTTGAATTACAGTTGAAAAGTTAGTAATTGACAATTAGCCTTTCATGTTTCTGTTTACCAGTCCCTTCTGATAAATGTAGCAGTTTGAGAGCCAGTGTTGTTTTTGTTATGGAAAGGTCCTACAGAACTGGGCTGTAACCTTTCTGCTGTAAAGGTTATGAGAGCAACAGTGTCCAGGCGTGAGGAACACATGTGCTATGGAGTTTGTAATACAACAAACAGAATTTGTTTGTGGGACAAATGGCAGCTGCTTAAAAGGCATGGGTTCATATTAAAGGCGTTGAGTATCATGTTTGTACATCCTTTGATGTTTCAAGAGATTCAAGATTTGAAAAACCCATGGAGGGTTGTGAAGCAGGAGAAATATTAGAGCTACACTAACTTTTACTACAAGGAGAAAGGAAGGAGATCCTGGAGGCAGAGGTCATAGGAAAAAGGAAAGCTCCAGATGAGCTGTACACAATAGCATTGAGAATGAACAGGAGTGCCGGAGCAGTTGGTCTGAATTGAGATTGGCTTTGATTCTGAAGAAGACACTGAAGTAAATGATTCCTAAATTTCTATCTTGGATGAGTTTAAAATTATTTATGGGAAGAAGGAATTTATTTATAGATGGAGGTTTAAGGTTGAAAATGAAAGACAATGAACCATACTCCATTGTTAGGGCAGGATCAGATGTCTGTTAGATATGTTTATGGCATTAGCATTTAAATCTGGAAATACTAGTCTGGACAAAGGAAATACAGATTGAAGAGTCAGTGATATACACCCTTTATCATTTCTGTTGAGATTCTCTGGAGTATTCTTTTCTTCTCTGAAACTGAAGGCCTACACAGACCCTGAAGAATAGCACATACTAGCAGAAGAAATTGCAGCCCAGTAAACACATGAGGATGTGATGTAGCTATAGCCAGGTATACTTAGTAATTTTTCAGAATATTTATATGAGGTATTGACCTTTCACTTGTCACAAAAAGTTAGTCTAATAGTTGTTGGAAAAAGTTTAGAGAGGGACATAGTCTAAGCATATATGAGAGATGATTACAGGTTTAGAATATAAGATGACAACTCTTGGACTGTGAGCTTAGCCACCATGTGGATATATAACCTAAAAAAGAAAGGTCCGGTAGTATAGTTTCAGCTACTTCAGGAGTCAGCAACATGAGGGATTACTTGATACTGAACTACATAATGAGATCATATCTCAAAAATAATACTTGCCATCATTTTTTCTTTTACTCTGAAGCACTGTGACTTAGAGCAGTAGTTCCCAACCTTCCTAATGCTGCAATCTTTTAATAGTTCCTCATGCTGTGGTGACCTGCAACCATAAAATTATTTTTGTTGCTACTTCATAATTGCAAAATTGTAATGTAATGTAAATGTATGTAATGTAAATCTGTCCCCCCCCCCAAACCGTTTTTAGGTTGTTCAACCTCCTAAAGGGGTTGCGTCCTTCAGATTGAGAACCGCTGGGTTAGAGAGATTAATAAGAAAGTCAGTTTTGCCTCCCTTCCACCTTAAGCTTAAATCTCTTTGAAAAATTTAACGTCAGGATGGGAATTACAGCTCATTAATAGTGCTTATCTGGTAGTATACCTAAGGCCCTGGATTGGATTGGGGGCAGAGGAGGGAAAAGCAAAGAAAGCTGGGGCTAGAGAGCTGGCTCAGCAGATAGAGCAGTTGCTACTCTCCCAGAGAACCTGGTTCAGTTCCCCGCACCACTGACCGCTTACAAGTGTCTCTAACTCCAGTTCTAGGGGGTTTGACACTATCTCTTGGACTCCATGGATACCATGAAGGCAGAATACCACTACATTAACAAAGAAACAAAAACCAAAAGCTAAGAAGAGTAGCCCAGAAGACCAACCTATCAACAGCTCACTATGTCAAGGCTGTGATAATGCTTACTCGACACACCTGATTGACTTCAGTTATTAAAGAGGCTCACATTTATTTGCCTTTATAGATGGAAATGCAATTTTATAAGGGAATTAAGCAAGAAAAAAATTCCTCCTCCCTTTTCTGACTGTACACCCACCCACCCTTGTAAAGCTCATAGCTCATTGAACAAAGTCTAATATCGATTCACTTTTATAGATATACGTATATAACCCTAGGCAAATGGAACCAAACTGAGTTAAATTCATATGACAGGGGCCTCATTACATTTTTAACAAGACTTGTTGCTTTTTGCAAAGTTTAACAATTTACAAAGGTTGCTGCTGTAATTGTCACTTCTCGTGTGAGATGTAGTTAATTATTGGCTGCATGTACTAGTGTTCAGGAAAAGATAAAGCTTTACATTATTAGGATATTTTGTCTTATCTTAGTATTTTAATTACTTCAGTTCCATGAGCTCTGTTGTACACCAAAACTTATCAACAGTTGTCTTTTGAGCTTTTCAAAGCTTTATAGCTGTCAGTAGCGTGTGGAACTGGAAGATCTTGTTCTTGGGAACAGGTCAGAACTTAATTTGTCTTTCAAGTGGTATCTTTAAAGGGAGGATGTGGGAATACAAACTCATCTGGATGGTTTTATTTACTAAATCCCAAACAGCTACTTTAGTAAGTAATGTATTCTTTACTTAGGTTCTCTGAAAATATGTTGTATTTCCATTGTCATTCATTGACATAAATGTACCAAAGTCTGTGTGTGTGTGTGTCCCATACACGCATACATATGCATAAACACACATGTGTATGTATGTATATCTCAGTATCAAGAGATAGAAAAAGGATTAATGCTTCCTGATCTCCAAATTTATTGGCTTCGTTGTCATTTCTCATATGTTTAAGCTTGATTATTAGCTACTGTTTATTCCTCTACTATAGATTATATCTTCTAAAACATTTCCTATCACAATAATTTTCTACTAATTTTGAACTAAAATTTAAAATGGCAACGTGTGCCAGGCACATTCTTTCTTTGTACTTCACCGAGACTGACATTTAATTCCTATAATAACGCAATAAATATTATTTACATCTTATAACCGATGAAACTGAGGCACAGTTTATTTATTCCATAAAATAAATTCATTTATTGATTGCTTAAATATTTATATGTACTCTGAAAACTCTGAACAACCTTGTGATGACAGCATTCCCATCCTTTCCCCCCACATACTGCAGTATTTATTTGATAATTCACTTGAAAGTTGAGGAAACTGCCCATTAATAGTAGGTCCCTACTGGCACCACAAATGTGACTTTATATTGGAAACCATTTTTGGGAGTCAGGCATTAGCATCAGTAGACTTAAGTAAAAATTGCTTTTGAGATTGCTAAGTTGACTGTAATGACAGTGTATAGGTAGTTCCCTCTTTAAATATAATATGCTAAACTTCCTTGCTTCCTTCCTTCCTTCCTTCCTTCCTTCCTTCCTTCCTTCCTTCCTTCCTTCCTTCCTTCCTTCCTGTGTCCATGTGTGCAGTGGAGTGCATGTGAAGGTCAGAGGACAACTTGTTGGGTTCTTTCCTCTTGCAATATGGATTCCTGGCATTGAACACAGGTTGTCAGGGTTATGTGGCAAGCATTCTTGTCTGCTGAGACATGTTGACAGTCCTTTAAATTCATCTTTGTTGTACTTTGTCCAGAGCATTAGAATAGAATTCATAAATGACTATAAGTCTTTGAACCAAGGATCTATTTCTGCAAGTGAACTGTAGTTAGAACCCAACTATACCCACTACTTACAACATTCTGTTACTACATGGAATCTTGTAGATAGAGTTGAGTAGTTAAAACATGGATATACTCTTAGAAGAAACCTAAAATATTTACCAGCTCCTTAAAATGTGCAGATCTCTAGAGTTAGTCATTTTTGTACTCTAGGTAGAATTGACAATGAAGAATTGGTCTGAATTTGGTATTTTGCACAAGTACATACATGCAAACACACACCTTCGCACCACACACACACTTTCTGAGTGGTTTTGCTTTAAGGGGTTCATAGGAACTAAGAGCAACTAAAACTGGCATAGACCTTCTTGTAAGTGATTTCCTTGGAATTGAAAAATATTCTAGTTTTCTGTTAAACCTTTATTTTTATAAAACAGCATCAATTTTAACCTCATGTAATTTTATACATGTTTCTCATTACTTAAATAATTTCTGAAAAGTTTTCTTGTAAGTGAAAACCTTAGTTTTAGTTACTGAACTTCTGCATTTTTTACCTTTGGGGGAAAAATGGCCACTATTTTACTATATAGGAAATTCTGAGTTTCACCCATTCTTTATTTATCTTGTGAAAATAGCCATAAGTACATTAGCTGGGTTTTGAGAGGAATTAAGAGTCGGTGTACAGCACGTAGCATGCACCCTTTGGTATGTATACTCTGAGTACTGCCTGGATGCCAGTTTGTTGCAAAATGAACCTGAGGTAAATGGGGAGTTGAGTGATAGAAGTCGTGGTGGAGTTGGAATGAAGAATGATACTGCTTTTTTTTTTTTTCTTCAAGTCGGGCTGATTTGTTTGCTTTGTTATTTTTGAATGAGGTTTCCCGAAATATATGCACCTTTTGTGTGTGTTGGGGAGGGAGATGAGCAGGTTATAGACCATTTACAGAATAGGGTGAGAAAATGGAGATTGGGGAATTAGTGTGGGCGCCATTTGGAGAGGAATGAATAAAGGGAAATGCGCATGCGACTGAACTCACTTTTTTCCTTAAGTTATCTGTCTTCAGAGCAGTAGAATTTTTCATCAGAGATAAATATGAAAAGAAGAAATACTATGATAAAAACGCTATAGCTATTACAAATGTAAGTAAAACCTTCGTCTTTTACCAATTGTTGTTTGTTAGGTCCATTTCAAACATTTAACATACAGCTCAGTTTGTTTATTGTAAAACATATTGTTGCATATGCTTAACTACTTAAATATTGCGATTTTTTTTCTTTTTTGGTTATTTAAAGTTGAGAACCTGTAAACTAGAGTAGGTTCAGCTTACTTGACCTTTCATTAAAACAGTTCTATAATTAAAAAGAAGACAAAGCCACCAGTTTAAAAAGAAAAGAGAGAACATAAAATTACTTTGTAATTAGAGAAATAAATGCTAAAGAAAAGTTGTTTTGTTTGTTGAGACAGGAAGAGTATTCCAACAGTGTAGTAATTCTGGGTACTTCCTTGATTATTAATAAGCATATGATTGTTGTTACCTTACTGTAGCAATTAAATAGAATAATCAACTGCTTCTATCCAGTTTTTATTTCTGATTAAAATTTCCCATCTTAGTTAATTATGTAACGCTAATTGTCTTTATCATTGAAATCAGTTTTTGGGTCTTTTGAGTCCTTATTTAATAAGCAAGCATTAAAGTCGTTAATCTGATTTGTCAGGCAGTTTGAGACAGTAGTTTCCATGTAATAATCTAGCTTTTTCTTACCGTTCAGTCGCTTTTATTTTGCTGTGGTGAAGCAGCATGGCCAAGGCAGCTAATAGAAGAAGGGCATATTTTGGGCTTGGTGTTCATTCTGGTGTCATTAAGTCCATCACCACGGAAGGGAAGTATGGCAGCAGGAGGCAGGGCGGCTGGAGCTGGCAGCCGAGAGCTAAGGGCTTCCTCCAAATGGAAGCAAGGAGAGCAAGCCTTTAAGATCCATGGCCTTAGCTAACTAAGCTCCCCAAGCAGCAGCCATCAGGGTACCAAGTATTAAAGCGCCCAGAGGTAGGGCACTGAGATAACCCTGTAGCCCTTTGAACTACACCTTCTGAGGGTGGAATCGACAAAAGCCATCGAAGGATAAATTAACATAAATTGTTTATAAAAACGTGCTTGAACTTAAGGCTCCATTAATCCTGAAGTGAACTAATTATATACTTAATGAATTTTCATATGAAATAAATTTAGAATATTTTATAAAACACACTACTTTATATTAAATCCTGAAAGTGAAATTCTAAATCTTTTTTCTTTCTTTTTTTTTTTTTTTTTTTTTATTCTTGGCAAGTTAAAAGTTGGGATTATGTATTAATTCATAAGAGTTTTATCTTTGGATGAGAGCTGGTTTTCTTATGTATAGATAATTTTTTTCATTTGTAGGAAACGTAAAAAATACAATGTTTAGGAGAAAATGGTCATGGTATTTGCAAATAGTTTCAAATAGTTTAGTGAAATCTGGCAGTTTTCACATGTATGTTCATCACTGTGTGTAGAGAATAAGCATGGTGTGTTGTTAATGTGATAGATATTAATGTTTATTTTCTTAGTTTTCTTTTGTAGGCTTGGAAGTAACAAATTTTAAAATAAAAGATTATATACTCCCAAGTTTGTATTATGAAAATTAAGAAAAATTTATATAAGTTCTTACATGTAACCCATGCTCAAAGTCAACTAGAGTACTAAGCAGAGGTTATGCCAGGCTTTAAAAATATGAAACAAAATATGAGTTCCTTATATCTAAGTTATTTCCTGAAAGAAGTGGGACCTTTTTTATATTAAACCGTAGTGGTATTCTGATTAAGAACTATCTTACATGATTATTAAGTTTTATGTGACTGTAACTCCTATGTTAAATAGCTTTAATTTGTTTTAATTTCTTATTTTTATAATTTATCTGTGTTATTTTTAGCATCATCAGGATGAGCTATTGCTTTCAGTTTGTTTTCTTATTTTAAGAGTATTCCTATTTTCCTATGTAAGGCAATTTTAAAACAAAGCACTGAGTTTAATTCTTGACTTTCTTTAACAAATTTCACAATATGGCGGAAAAGAAAGCAGTGAACTGCAGTGAAACATAGCAGTGAGCTTTGCTGTTTTCTGAAGAATTGTGCCACACACACAGCCTCAGTGTACCTGTGAACCAGGCCTGCTGGAATCCATTGTAATGGGAGTGAAGCTAGAGGCTGTCTTCCTCGCTAGGAGTGTTTTCTTCTCAGTTTAAAGGAATGCCTTCAATAGGCAGCCCTGGTGGTGCTGACTAATCTTAGTCTAGAGCAGTGGTTCTCAGTCTTCCTAATGCTGTCACAGTTCCCCATGTTGTGATGATCCCCAACCATAAAGTTATTTCATTGCTACTTCATAACCTGTAATTTGGCTACTATTGGTAATCTTAATATAAATACCTAATATGCAAGATATCACTACCTCTGTGAAAGAGCTCTATTCCAAAGGGGTCACGACCCACAGGGTGGGAACCATTGGTCTAGAGGCTGGGGCCAAAGGATCCCAAGGTTAAGGACTTCCTGGGCTACAGAGTAAGTTCAAAGCCAACTTGGGTTCCAAGTCAAATTAAAAGCAAATAGCTAATAATAGTGTGGGTACTTCACCTAGTGGGAATAAGAAGAATAGAGGCTCCTAAAAGTTGGTAGAGGCAGCTAGAGAGCTGAGACTGTGAAGTTGTAGGCGACTGAATAACAGAGTGTAGGCAGAGCAGGGAAGGAAAGGCTGATACTACAGGTGTGATCTACTTCAGGACTTTGGTCTTTGCCCTTGTGTAGTAAGTGTAAATTATATAAGATTTGCACATGAGAATAACTTAGTATAGAGGAAGGACTTGAAGTCAGGAGGACTAGTCCAGGTGACAGTAGTACTCTTTGTGTAGGGTAGTTAGTGAGCATGAGAAACACATGGTTTTGAGAGATTTGAACTCTCCGGAGTACCTAGTTTGTTTGTCTTTCTGCACCCCTGAAGAGGAAAACAAGCACTGTTAGTATAAGTTGACTTTTTCTTTCTTGATGTTCTGCATATCCCTCTCACCTTCTATGTTTTTTGTTTTGCTTTTGTACAAAAAAGTTTTGTGGCACAAGTTACCTCATTAAGTAATCTTATGTTTTTAATTCCATTTTACATGAAAATTTCAGTAAATATCTCTAGGAATAACCAGCTTTAAGTCGGGCTCTAAGGTTCTAAGGTACAGTTTGACCAGATTGTTCATTTCTTTTTTAGACAAGGTCTCCTTATGTAGCCGTGTCTGGCTTGGAATTCACAAAGATCCAACTTGTTTCCTGAGTGCTGGATATGCCACACTCTGGGCTACTTTGACCTTTTCTTAATGGGAAGACTACATTTTCATGTGCTGTGCATTTTCTTTTATATGTGGCTTGTTTTTAATATTAATTAAGTGGTTAGTTTATACAGTTACACCAGATCTAGCATTGTGCAAGGGGGAAACAAATGTCCAAAGTGACTCAAGAACTACAGTCATAATTAATTAGCATATTGAAGGAGGACGTGGGATCTTGTAGTATTATTTTGACTTTATACAATAGCCTACCTATAATAGCAACTCTAAATCCCCATAGGCACTACCAGTATGACATGGAAATACAGAGATGTTAGTTTTATGGCTCCAAAGATCTGGCATTTGTTTTGTGAATATATTCAGATATATATATGAAACTGGGTAGGAAGATGTGTGCAAAGCTTTCAGGTGAATTCCACTTTTGTGTAAATGGCTGCCATATATATGAGTATCTCTATGCTTTAGGGTAATTCAGCAGGTCAACACTGAGACTTCTGTTTGCTTGCCTATCTTCATGGAGGACATGAATAAATTACTTTGTAATAAGTCTGTTGCTACTTAGCTGTTAAATTAACCCAGTCTTTCTCCCAGTCTTTGCTTTGCTTCCTTAAACATCAAGTTAACTTTTAATTAATTTTTACTGTTTCCCCTACTTTATTTTCCATTCCTAAAGTTATTACCAGCAAAAATAAACAAATTTTACTTTCCTACTTTGCATAAAACTCTTTATTGCATAAGTGTACTAGGGTTTCAGCAGTAACCTTGAGTGAAAATGAGTTATTAGAGAAAATTATACTTCAGATCTCTTTGCTATGATTTTATCTAACACAGTGCAAATTTTATAGCCTAGTAAAATCCATTTTAAATATATATTATTCTTTGCTATGTCTTTTTAAATATTTCAGACGTGTATTCTTTGACAATATTTTATGTTGTTAAAATTCTTTAAACTACTTTTATCAGAAAGGTATGAGTGTCTGTTTCTTTCTGGTGTTTGTCAGTTTTGGTCACTACCTTCTCTTCTTTTCCCTCCTAACTCTGCATCTGCACATCTAGATTTCCTCTTCTGATGCTCCTCTTCAGCCTTTGGTACCCTCTCCTTCTCTGCAAGCCGCTGGTGATAAAAACAAATTAGAGGTATAGTAATGTTTTCCACATGTGCACTCGTGGTGCTTCCTGATAGGGGGCTTCCTCTCGCAGGGCTGCGATTTCAGAGCACCAGTAGAAGTCATGTTTGGGATGATGTCTAGATTGCAAAGCATCAAGTATATTAATTTACTGAATCTTAGCCTATGCTATTGGCATAAGTAAAGAGTTTCATTCTGTATTTCATTTCAGAGTGGCTGATTTAGGGACTATTACTATACATATTAAGTATTCTTTGTTATATTCATTACCAACTTATAGGAACTTTACAAACAGATGTACTTTAAAGACACATGGTTGTTAAATTTTCTGATCTCAGTCTTTGGTCAAAAAAAAAAAAAACTTTTCTGACCATGGTGCTGTAACAGCTGTATAAGTACTTGAAAGCTAATGTCAATTTTTTTTTTGAAGCAATATCAACTGCCATATAGGAAAACAAATGTATTTTATGAGATCATCAATTAACAGTCAGTGATGATTTTTAGAGTATATTCTGAGTGGGTATAATAAGATAAATATTCTTATGTCTTGTATTATATATTCTTCAATTATTTGAGAGTTTTAATTTCTTTTGATTCTGCCTTTGTTTGTGTCTACTTCTGGATAAGTGGCATGCTAGACTTGTGAGACACAAAGACAAATAAGATATACCGGTATCCTTGTGGACTTTATAATCTAAGGGGGGGGGGGAATAGGTAACTATACAGCAGTTTATAATGCAGTGTATTTATGCAGTGACTGAGATAGCCTGTGCTAATACTAATTAATATAAAAAATGTACTTCTGACGGGTTTTATACTCTTGAATAGGCATTAACTATAAGGGTCAGGAGGCATTCCAGATAGAGAAAGCAGCTTGTGAGAAAAGTATGGTTGGAGCACTGTGCTTAAGGATTGGCGGGTTGAATGGTATGGAGGAAAGAGGAACGAGGGAGAGAAGTTGGGGACAGGCTTTTAAGAACCCACTGAAGGAGACTGATCTTTATTCTGAAGGCCGTGGTACGTTAATGATGAGTTTTAAGGGGAAGTGGCAAAGGATCAGACAGACTTCATGTTTTAAGACCATTTCACTGGCTTTTGGGGAAGTGGATTTTGTTGTAGTGAGTGAGGAAAACAGCTCAAGAACCAGGCTTAATTCAGGAATAAAATGGCTGAGATGTCCGCTAACATGGGACAGAGAAGAGTGTAGTTCTGAGTGATCATAAGGTCCACACACTATGTGGTGTTTCATAACTGGGGAGCCGAGTGAGTGCTTTGGAAGCCTTTGCGTCCATTTCCAACCTCAGCATCTCCATGTGAGATGAGTTGAAGAAGAGGATCTGATTTGAAGAGGATAATGGAAAAGGAGATGAATTCAAAGTTGGGTGTTAAGTATGAGGTTACAGACATCTGGTAGATACTTGGACATAGATGTTTGCAGCTCAAGAGGTAAGAAGTTGGAAGGGTGGGGCCTCAGGTCTGAGAGATACGCTGACCCACCAGAGCAAAGCCACTCCCATGAGAATAGCAGTGGGGGCTCCTCACACTTAGAGGTAATTTTAGAGCACACAGCACAGGGCTAAAAGTGAACAGGCTCTGGTATTTAGTGTTCAGTTTAAGTTCTGGAAGCCCTCTGTGTCCACTACCACCCCCCCCCCCACACACACACACCACCCACGTTAATGTTGCTTCCAGCCCTGGATCATTATGCCATAACTGGAATCGGCTATATTTCATTGGCTGAAATTTTAGTATAAAAGGGAATCATGTCATAGTGCTTCCCTCCTATTGAATGTAACTGAGTACCCACCAATCACAGTGATTAAGATTTGAGCCCTTTTTATTAGTGATGTTTTCCTTGAAAAATAACTTTGTTTCTGTAGGCTGCTGTATCAAAATACCATGTGTTGTGTGGCTTCTGAACAACAGTAATCTATTCCTCACAGTTCTGAAAGCTGTAAAGTTCAAGACTAAGGTTCTGTGCCTTGTGTGGGCCCACTTGCTTATTCATAGAATGACACCTTGCTGTGGAAATGGGTAAGACTCACTCTGGGGCCTGTTTTACAAGAACACTAACCCCAAAGGCCCTCAGCTCTTCATACTGTCTCGTAGTGTTGGGGATTTAATCTCAACACACATTTTGAAGTGGCCACAAACATTCCAACCATAGCAGTAACTAACAGCTTTGAGAGGCTAAGGAGCAACTTACTTAAGCTTTTTTGCACTAAACCTTACTAATTATGTCTAGAAGACATATTAGAATTTATAAAAGAGTTTTGCTCATCTTATTTTTCTTACAAAGTAGGGATAATTAATTGTTCTCTTCATAATGTTGTTGTGAGGATGAAATGAGTTTGGAATAGTGCCTGCCTAGCACATAAGGATTCAGTAAATATCAGCTGTAATCTAAGGAATAACAACAGGTAAAGCTCCATTGTACTTCAGTGAGCCCCGAGACTTGTGTGCTTGGGGTCTGCGGTCCATCAGCACAAAGGGATATTGATTAGTTGCTGTATTTAGAGTACCACTTTCCTAAGTTTTTGTTTATTTGCAAAAAGACATGAGTGACCATAGTTGCTTTGGACAGTTTTTGCAGAGATTAAATTAGACACTAAGGAAGTGTGCATAGATGTATTTTGGAAATGAAGGTTTGTTTTGGGGTTATGGTTGAGCCAAATATAGAGGATGCTTCTACTTGACCCCCCAAGAGCTTAAATTTTACTTCTAGTCTGAAGTTCCAAGTAGTTGAAAAGTATTCTGAGAGATAGCCTGCTTCCTAGATGTTGTTCTGTTCGTTCTAGACCATTTTGATGTATATACTCATTTGGTTAATTAAAACCAGTTGCCCTTTATACTTTAGCCCTCTAGGTATTCAGAAAGTACAACTTTGTTTTGTTCTTGAAAAGCATGATTGAAACAGATGGTTTGAGAGAATTGTTCCAAGGAGCCTTAAATATAATTTTTTAAACCTAGTTTGTTCTAATTTGCTCTTCTGTTGCTATGATAAAATACCAAGAGCAATGTAGGGGAGGAAAGGGTTTGTTTCAGTTTATACTTCAAGGTCACAGTTCATTATTGAGGGAAGTTGAAGCAGGAACTCCAATAGGAGCTTCAAGCAGAACCCATGGAGGAATGCTGCTTTCTAGGTTGCTCACTGGCTTGTACTTCTCATGTAACCCATGTCTACCTCTAGATATGGTACCCTCACAGTGGGCTAAGCCCTCCCCCATCCCCATCAAGACAATCTCTTATAGACACAGCCACAGTTCAATTGAAGTTCCCTCTTTACAGATAACTATAGGCTGTCTCTAGTTGACATTAAATACTAACACACAGGTTCTAGAAATTTAGCCATGTGTTCTCATACACATGCACTATTCATTGGTGTCTGTATACAAATGATCTCACCAGCTTACTGTTACTCACACTGCTTGCTGTAAAAGATTAACAGAAGTGCTTTAGAATTTTGCTGCTATTCTTAATCCTGTAGTTGAAGGCATTGCTATTTATGCCATAAAGATATTTGCTATGAATTTTTAAAATTTTCGGTCCAATACTGATGGTTTTTTTTCCCACCTTTTATATTTTGCTGCAAGTGCTGAAATTGAAATTAAATTTCTCATGTTGGTGTCCTGCTTTATAGTTTACAATAGTCTGAGGTTTTTAATACCTTTTTAAAATGAATGCATTAAAATTGGCTTTGAATACTTGTGAGCAATCACTGTATAGCTGTCAACTTAATACTGTGTAAACTGAATGTTATTGTTACTTCAAAAGTTCCCATCTTATCTTTTAATCACTTAATTCTTCCTGCTTAGAGGTAATTAGCATCCTTACCTATCCACTTATCATCATTATCCATTTTGTGTTTTTATTTTGTGTATGTATATGCTTTAAATTGTTATTTTGTAATTTTATATTGGTATACATACCTTCAAAGAATGTATTTTTTATCTTTTTTGAACTTTATATGAATGGTTAAGTCCTTTGAAGTTCTGTTAGTTTACATTATAGCCTAGGAATTACCACTGTTTACTAATTTATATGTGGTAGGTACAGAGCGGGTCTTTAGATATTTTGACTTAAGTTTAATGTTATCCCTTTAACACAGTCTCTCTCTCTCTTTCTCTCTCTCTCTCTCTCTCTCTCTCTCTCTCTCTCTCTCTCTCTCTCAATTTTGTGACCTTTAAGATTTGTTGTTACTGTTCTTAATTCTCCTTGGAGTACAAATGATGAACACCATGTACTGTCCTTAGTATTTTTAATGTGAAAATCTCCATACTTCTTTTTAAAAACATAAAACTATGATAGCAGCCTGAAAATACTTTGTCTTTACTTTTGAAATTAAGATGACTTATTTTAACTCCTGTGCTTTTCTGATATGGTGGTATCCTACCCATATCACAAAGTGTGTACTGCTGGGCGTGTGGCCTACTCCTTTAATCCCAGCACTTGAGAGGTGGAGGGCAGGCAGATCTACAGAGTAACAAGTCAGCCTGATCTACAGAGCAAGTTCTAGGACATTCAGGGATACATAGCAAGACTCGGTTTCAAAAAGAAAACATATAGTATAGTAAACATATACAGAGAATTTATTGAATTGAGTTTTTACCTCTTTAAACAAACCCTGAAATTTGTTTCCCTCCTGAAGATTTTTAGTAATCCTCTGTATTGTCATTAGCATGTAACTTCAATGAAAAAATGAAATTGCTTTTGACTTTCAGTAGTATGTGGATAATGTAAGAACTTGATATTTCTGTCTTTCTAAAGTGACTATTCAAACTAATCATATAAAATGAACTAAAAGCTTCTGTTTTAAAAAGTAAACTTATGAAAACTTTGGGCTGTGTTTTAGAAAGAAAAGGAAAAAAAAAAGGAAGAGAAAAAGAGAGAAAAGGAAACAGAAAAGCCTGCCAAACCACTAACAACTGAAAAGGTAAAATAATAAAAAGTAATCTAAAGTTGTCATCTTATTATATGCCTATACTAAAGACTTTCTGGGTATTGTGAAATACCAGTTTTTAGCCTTTCAGCAAGTAATTATGAGGTTAATCCTCCGTATTGAGCATCGCCTTCTTACATGGTTTCTAGTCAGTTACAGATGTGGGTTCCTGTCATTTGAGAGCTCATGAAACAAGAATTCTCCTCTGAGTGACCCTGAGAATGGTGGTTTTAGCTGTACTGTACAGTGAAACTGGAACAGAATCATACAGAATGATAGGATCATGGGATGTAGCTCAGAGAGGAGTCCTTGCTTCGTAATATGTGAGCTAGATCTTGAAGCAAGAGTAGTTTCAGTGTGGAAGGAAAGAAGATGTTAGACTGAAAAGGCAGCCTCAAGATGGTCTTAAGTGTCTGGAAATAAAGTGTGAGTTTATACAAATCTGTGTCTGTATATGAAGAGTAGTTGAAAAAGTAAGGCCAGAATGGCAGATTGAACTCAATTCATAGGTATTTATTCTCTGGTTGTTGTTGTTTTCTCTTTTTCTTCATCCCTCCCCTTTAGAGCTCAGGCTGACTCAAGCTCGTTAATTTTTAAGTTGCATTTGAAATGATGTGTTGTGTGTGTGCTCTGGTAAGTTTATGCATGTCCACTAAGGTGTGTAGCAGTCAGAGGACAACTTGCTGCAGTTGGTTCTCTCCTTCCACCCTGTGGGGATTGAACTAAGGTCATCAGGCTTGGAAATTGACATCTTCAGCAGACATTTGCTGTGCCATCTCCTTGGTTCCCAGGCCACGGGCTTAGCTCCTCCTTCCTCAGTCTCTTAAGTACTGGGCTGATAGATGTGTGGCATCACACCTGGCTAATACTTGGGTTTCCAAAGGAGGTGTTACACCTAATTTAGAGGCATTCTTTTGCAAAATTATTTTGGCAGTGGTATGTAAGAGAGGTGTGAAAGAAAACTAGACTAAATCATCATGCAACTAATAGCTGTAGTTCAAGGGTATAATCAGTAACTGCTAGATGTAGTTCTTGTGGATTCTAAAGCTTGATTCCTTTGTTCTTTTCCTGTTAAAATATTATTGCAGGTACACTTAAAATTGCTCTTGAAATGACCTTCTTACTTTACAGAATTTTATGACATTTTATTTTTAAAGATGAAAATCAGGCTAGGTATATAACCTCAACAGTAGAGTATTTGCCTATCATGACAAGACACTAGGTTCCATCTGTATACCACTCAAGAAAAGAATGGAAAAGGTAAAAGAGACAGGGAGAAAAATGAATCAAAGGAAAACATTTTTTCTTAAGGCCTGGTCTCACTCTATAGCCTATGCTGGCCTTGGATACTGGCAGTCCTCTGCCCTTGGCATCCTCAGGGCTTGGCTGCAGGTGTACCCGCCATACATGTGTATATGAGTAGGGGAGGCAGCTCCATCTATAAATAGCAATTGCTGAAGAAGACCAAAGTGCCCAGTGACTATGGTAGCCTGCTTGTAGGCCCAGGGCACAGGAGGCAGATTTCTAGGAGCGAGCCAGCTAGCCAGACTAACTTACGTGAGCAAGCTCTGGACTCAGTGACAGACTCTACCTCAGTGTATTATAAGGGAGAGAAGGACCGGGGAACATACCCAGTATCAATCTTGGGCCTCCGTATTCACACACAAACATGTGAACATATGTGCACATCACACACAAAATAAGAATTTGTAATCGATACAAATGTTTGTCTAAAAGTGATATTTAATGACTAGATATTTTATTTTACAAGTAAAAATAGAATTAAAAATAGCATTTTCTGCCGGTCGTTGGTGGCACACACCTTTAATCCCAGCACTTGGGAGGCACAGACAGAGGCAGGCAGATCTCTGTGAGTTTGAGGTCAGCCTGGTCTACAAAGCTAGTTCCAGGACAGGCTCCTAAGCCTAAAGAGAAACCCTGTCTTGAACAGCCAAAAACAAATAAATTATAAATAAAAAAATACAATTTTCACTGTTTATAACATGTGACTCTTGCATGAGCCCTGTGAAATGTTCAGTTTTACATGCTTGTGGAAAAACACATACTGTAAAAACCAACAAATCCTGAGCTACTGTGCTGTGTATAGAAATCAACACAGTTGGCTGTCACTAATAAGTACATAGTGTACCTTGGACATTTGAAAGGCTAACTTTAAATGAGCAAATAGGGATAAGAACCTTTAATTTTTACAGCTATGATAGTCTGTTGTGTTCTTACTGTTTTTTATATAGTTTAAACCAGAAAGCATTGAGTAGCTTTAAATAACTGCATGCTGAAATACCTCGAACGCTAGCATGAGGAACCTGCTGAAGTTGTAATAGCTTTCTTTTTAATACTTAGCTACTATTAAAATAAATGATAAAGAGCATATGTGCATTGTGGTAGACAGTCATATTTTACTACAGGCTTTGTAGTAAATTGGAGACATTTCCCCGTGGAATTTCTGAAATGTTTTAAAAGTCTTTTTAAAGTTTTATTGGAAGTGAAGCAATGAAATAAGGGGGAAATCCAATTACTTTATGTGCAAAGCTTTCATTTCCTACTTAATGAAAGAAAGGCTTTTGCAGTAAGCATGCAAGCTCACAATCCTTTTTTGTAAATTAGAAATTTTCTTCTTTTTTAAGAACAGGCAGTGAGGAAGTATCTTCAGAGTAAACAACTTGGGTAGAAAGTAGTCTCAGTGAATTAAAGCCTCCAGTTAAGCTCATCAAGGTATAAGGCTCGACAATTAAATTAGACATGTTGTTGAAAAGAATGAAACCATCTAGAACTTTCCTGAGCGACGAACATAGTGTAGGCATCATTTTTAAGCCTTTTAAACATGGTATTTCATAGTCCTCTCAGTACCTTGAGTTTGGTATGATTGACCCTTTCATTCATTGCATGAATCTGAAAAGTACAGGCTCGGCAGTTTTTTCCTGGTCACGCAGCTGTGAAGCAGTGGCTAAGCTGAGAATCCACTGGGCATCCTGCCTTTGCAGCATGTCCTATGACCAGCAATATACTGTGTGCACTATCAGTGTATTCTCTACCATCCAAAAGGGGATTAAGAAAGGAGAGGGGCATTACTTATCTGTCATGTGACTGCATGGGTCCCCCACCCCACCCCGGTGGGAGATGTGGCCCTGCATGCCTCTCCTGCAGCACTCAGGAGAGTGACCCTTGCACCTGGGTAGCACAGTAGAGCTGGGTGTAGGTGTGGGAGAACCAACCCCAAGGATGTGAAAGCAGAACTGACTCCGCCCCTTGCTCATCACTGCAAGGGGTGAACAGCCAGGGCAGTGCTGGAGAGCTCCCCTAGTGGTGAAGACGGGGTAGCTGGTGGGCTGACCAACCCTGCAACTAGAACCAGGGTTAAATGTTGGCTCACCCCAACAGCCATCCTTTCTGTGATCTGCTGGTCTTAGGTGACTCCTGTGAAACATTTTTTTTACCCCAAGATTAAGACTGCTGCCTTATTAAAAGGCAGATTCTCTATCTGGTGTCTATAGATGCTGAGTAAGTTAAAGTACAGTGAATCAGCATGTCCTGTTTTCCACTTCTAGATATGAACTGTCACAAGGGTAATAGTGAAATGAAAGATGTGTTGCAAAATATTTTGACATTTACCTGTGGTCTGTTTCTTTTTCTCCTCCAAACCTCCATAACAAGAGTTGATGGTAGCCAGGAAATAGTATGTGATTCGGTTCTTCAACAATGTAACTTGCTGTTGGGATGACTTAGCAGGTAGACACTTGCTGTCAAGCCTGAACTGAATTTTATCCCTGGACCCACATGACAAAAGGAGAGAACTTACTCGTCAAAGTTTCCCTCTGAACTCCCCACACATGTCATGGTGTGCACACACCCATACATACCACACACAGTAAACAATTAAATAAAAACATAAATCTGTGCCTGGTGATGCAGTCCTGTGGTCTCCGATACTTAGAAGGCTGAGGACTGAGTTGAAGGCTTAATCTAGGCAACTTAATGAGGCTTTGACTCCAAATAAAAAGTAATGGAGGGGTAGGAATGTATAGCTCAGTGATAGCATTTGCCTGTCATGTATAAGGTGACAGGGGAAAAGGTATGATTTCTTTCAGAGTTAAATTTCTGTAATCACTCTTCAGTAGTAGTCTCATTGTGTAAGAATGACCATTCCAAGTTCAAATACCACGATTACGTGTTTTAAAAATGATGCTCTAGGATTCTTTATACTAACTTCATGAAAATTATGCATAAGTGAAACGTAAGTGTTTGTTTGATTAGTAATCTATCAACCTAATGATTGACTTCAAAGCTGCAGAAGAAAGATGATCAACAACAGGAGCCTAAGAAAAGCACCAGCCCCAAAAACGCTGCAGAGCCCACAGTTGACCTTTTAGGACTTGGTAAGTAGTGGGAATGCAAAACAGTGCAAACCTACTTGAAACGGACACACCGTCCAATTCAGTATCACAGCAAAGATGTGGTTTGAAATGGTCTGACAAGTGTGCTGAGCTCTCACAGAAAAGGTGCATTTTAATAAGGAAAGCCAGTGTTTGTCTGCTCTGTTCTTTACTGAAATAAAAGTCATGAATTCTTTGGGGGAAAAGATACGAAAGTAATCTTGGATATAGTTTGGTAGATGTGACATTTCAGCATTTAAGTAAACGTTGAGTCATGCCCCTCTTCCTCCTAGCCTTACTCCAAAAAAAAAAAAAAAAAAGGGGGGGGGGATTCCAAACTCTTCAGTAAAATAATTCTGGATGACCTTTTTACAAAATATATAAATTCAAAATTTAATTCTAAGTTAGGCAATGCATTTAAAACTTTTATATTCATGCATAGTAATGGGTTTCATTATGGAGCTTTCATATACACAATGTATTTTGACCATATTCAACCCCTCCTTAACCCTCTCTTACCCCCTCCCGTTGCGTCTGAGCCCCTTCCTTTTTTTCAGTGTGTCCCCGTTCTACTTTCATGTCTTTAATCTGTTTATGGGATGCACTGGGTGACCCAGTGAGTTTAATTAGGGTTCCTTATAGGAGTATGGATGAGGGATTATGTATAAGATTCGAGCAACCACTGAAGAAAATGCATACCCTCCCACAAGCAATCATTAAATGTCCGTAGCTCTTCAGAGAGGGGCAGGGCCTCTGAACCTTTCTTAGGCATGTAGCATTGATTTTTGTAGCAGGCATCCCAATAGCACCTTTCCTACTAGGGTCTCTGACTTTCCTAGTCATGAGTTTTGGAACAAATTCACAGTACCAGATATGAATTCTCTTCTGTGAACCAAAGCATTGGACCTCAGATTGAAACGTACCCTGGCAGTTGGGAGCCAAGGAACACCACGAAGTCACTGTAAGCATAGCAGCTTACAGCCCTGCTGCAGGGAAAGGTTTCTCCAATGCAAGTATAACTGCTCTGCTCTGCTCTGCTCCCCTCCAGAAAAGTGTTTTTAGCTCTGATCAGATCTTCAAGGCATAACAGCTCTGCTCCCCTAGGGGAATGTTTGCCCAGAGGAAGTATACACCTCTGCTCTGCTCAGGTGAAAGCTGTTACAGCTGGGCTCGGCTCCAGCAAAAGTGTCACAGTACAGGACAAACCTCACTCAAGAGATTTATTGGGACAAAGTGACTAGGAGGGTGGCTGCCTCTAGGGTGAGAAACGGCAGTAAACTGAAAAGTACAGAGCTAAAATTAGGTCTCCCTCTCCGTGTGTGTGTGTGTGTGTGTGTGTGTGTGTGTGTGTGTGTGTGTATTTGTGTGTATTTGTGTGTATTTGTGCGTGCGTGCGCATGCGTGTGTTTGTAAGAGGTTCCAGGGTAGCTTGGGAATTGGTGGGCTTTTGTGATCTGATTCTGGGACAAGCTCAGGGATTGTGGGGTTTTGTGCCCAGGGATTGGTGGGATTTCAAGCCCAGATCCTGGGATCAAGTCAGGGTCAGGTTGCTTTTCCTTGGCCCAAGTCTCAGGTCAAGTTAGGAGCAGGGTATTCTTTCCTTGGCCCTTTTTTACTCCACATGAACGTTGTTGGTAACCCCCTGTAGTCATGCCACTATTGTATCAGTGTCTTGTCTGTTAAGTTGGTAGTACAGGGCACAGGTATGATGAACAAGACAGTTCCTTTCTAAGAAGCTTGCATAGTACTTTCTTGAACTAACCAGCAGAGAAAAAACGTCCAGTTCAGTCCCAGTTTGATCTCTTTAAGTTCTATAACCACAGTATGTAGTGCATTCAGCAATAGAATCTTGTCCTATAATTCTGGTAGGAAAAGACATGCATTGTTTGGGGTCCTTGGGGCCTTCCTAGCCCACACTTCATATGGAATTAGTACACCCCTGGCTTCTGAGAACAGCTTTATCTACCTATGCAGGGTACTTCAATTCAAAGTCTGCCTTACTCTTTTTTGTTGTTTAGTTTTTAATTACCAAATAATCAGGTTTCCTTACGGCTTTTTCTGTACACATTTAGTTTTGGTTGGCCTCTTGGCCCATATTACTTAAACCTTTTTTTTCCTTCTTTTTTAATAATCTCCACTATTCCCTCTTCCACTTTCATGTTCTGCGTGTTCTCTCCCCTACTCTTAACTTAAAGCTTCTTTGTATCTCATGGGCTTTGGTTGTTTTCTGACTACTAGTTAGATTTGAGGTAGCTTTGGTGGAATTTGTTGACTAGTTAATTAAATAGAAGAAAAGGAAGAATTAAAGATGGCACTGAGTATGTTTTGGACTGGACACTCGAGGAATAGTTTGCCATACAGGTGGGGAAAGTACAGGAAGTCTGGATGGAAGATTAGGAGTTTTGTTTGGCCATAGTTGATTGGAAATACTTATTACACCAAAAAACTAATAGTAATAGAAGGAACTCTTAATTGTGGAGTTAGATGACTTAGGAGTTTAAAGAAGAGTCTAGATGAGGAATACAAAAACTGGATGCTACTGGCTTTTAGGTGTTATTCAACATTGTAAAGTTAGACCAGATCATTAGCAAAGTGAAAATAGAGAGGTTTAAGAAGAAAAGAGGTTTCAGTTCTGTACCCTGTGATACACAGCTATTTAGGAGCCAGGGGATAAAACACAAGACCTAGAAAGGTGACCAGGAAGGAATGCGTATAAAGTAAGAAAGAACACTGTGGAACATCCCCTTGAAAGTTAAGTCAGGATATGATAGGTTATTCCCTGGAGACAAGCTTCCTCAGAGTATTGGTGGCATATAGGAATAAAAAGTATTTTCCACACGTTATGTTATGTCCATCAGAAGCTAGCTAATACTCTGTTCTGTCTTATCTTCACTTAGGTTGACAGCAGCCTCCCTCCTGTCTCAGACAAGAATTGGCCAAATGTCTATAAAAACAAAGTAAATATTTTAGGCTTTGTTGGCTATAAAAATCTCTGATAATGTAATATCTGTATTAGCCATAGATGACACCTGAATGAATAGACTATGTTGTACTAAAACTTTCTTTGTAGAAAAAGCAGAGAGCTAAATGTGGCCTGCTAGCCACAGGTCCCCGTTCATTGTGAACTGTGGCAAAGGGGTAGGAACTCATAGCAGGTCATGTGCAGTGCCCTGAAGGTTGTGTCTTTTGGTTATGACTTGAATATCAGCGGTGACATGACCATTTAAATGCCATCAAATATGTAGGAAGTGAATAAACAGTTGTCTTGTGCTTCTGGCTGATGAAGCAGAATGAAGGTTGAGATGTCAATTCATTCAACAGAGATAAATAAGAGTAACTTAAGTAACTGTAAAGATCAGTGGAATTAGAGGGAAACTGGAAAGCAAAAAAGGCAAAAAATGATTATGTATGCATGGTGATTTAGAGCTGTTGCCCCATTATAAAGGGGTTGGGGCTGGGGAATAGAGCAGGAAAGAAACTTTTTAAAAAAATATTTATTATGTATACAGTGTTCTGCCTGCCTATATGCCTGCAGGCCAGAAGAGGGCACCAGATCTCATTACAGATGGTTGTGAGCCACTATGTGGTTGCTGGGAATTGAACTCAGGACCTCTGAAAGAGCATTCAGTGCTGAGTTATCTCTCCAGCCCAGAAATTTTTCTTTTTTTTTTTTTTTTGCATATAGAGTATTTTTTATTTAATTTTATATAACAAAGTCCAATTAAATGAAAACAAACATTTATACACAATATTTGGGAATTTGGGCGTCGTTCTTTCCAAACTACTTCCTGCTGGTAAGGGGCGCTGTCTTGGGGGATTCGAAGAAGATTCAGATATCCTAGCTGTAGTCTGTAGGGCTGTTTTGTCCAGCTGTTTGGAATGTAGGATCAGCTTGTACTCTGTTTCAGGCGGTCTGGTGTGATCAAACCACATTAGTCTGGAAGGAATCCACATCTTTTCATTTTCTGTACAGAAATTTTTCTTTAATGGTGACATTACAAGATATGTACTGTTCGAAGTGAACATGTAGAACAGCCAGATCTGGTTCCAAGATAAGGAAAAATTGCTATAACAGTTTCTTCTAATAACCTAAGGAGATGAGATCTAGTAGAGCAGTGAAGTGACTGGCCTTTGAGACATTGAGTAAACCACAAGGCTAAAAGCAGATCAGACGAGGTGGTAGTTGAGCTGTCAGTTGATCCGTCAGTTGATCCACAGACCAGAACATGAAAGAATGATTGTTGGCTGGTGCAGTCTTGAGATTCATTATTGGGCAGCATTGTTGTAAGGAGTACAGTTTCGCAGGAGTTGAGTTGGAAATTTGGTTGATAGCTCTGCTGTTATCAGTTTGTACAACAGTTAACTACTACCATCCATACAAACAACTAGAGTACCAAGGAGTGTCTACTAGCTAACCTAGTGGTTTTTGTTGTTGTGGTTTTTTTTTTGGGGGGGGTGGTTGTGGGGAACATTGACAAGCTAACCAAAACACCATATATTTTGCAGTAATAAAGAATATGAAAACAAACTAGTTAGTTAGTACTCACTAGCTCTCAGACACTTTTTAAAGTTAGGAAATAGTTTAAAGCTTGAAGTTTTTAAGTGCTTCAGATGACTTGAATTTATAAATTAATTCACATGGGGCTTATTTCACTCCATAAATCAAGGGATATATTTCAATACAAACTTTCTATAAAGGAAAAAAAGCTTTAAATTCTTGACTTTAAAAAAAGTTCTTTGAACAACATGAACATTTAGAAAGCTCCAAGACCTTTACTATGACAGAGTGTGGCAGCATCTCATGGAGGCAGTAGCCTCCTTGAGTTGATCGGCACTGGCTCCACGTCCAGCCACTTAATTCTGATTGGGCTTTGCTGCCTCAGTAGGTAACAGGGACAGTACTTGACAGTTTTCATTGAGATAGGGTGTACTAAAGGCTGAATGTTCACGTTCTGTCAAAAATGGTAATGAAAAATACAACATCTGTTTGCTTATCACCTTCTTACCTGCCTTAAACTAGATTGGTGATGCATAAAATCTCATGTTGCTGTTTGACATTATTTCATTATCTGTGCAAGTAGATTATGACCACCTAATGATTCTGACATTCAAGTAAAAGATGAATGCAGTTAGTGTTTATTGAGCACCAGCAGAGTTTGCTGAACACTAGTAAACATCAGAACAGGAATAGGAATTGGGTATTTATAATTGTGCATATAGGAAATTGGGTCGCACTTTTAAAGGAGGAAAAATGTGGCTGAGGTAATTGCTTCTGGGGACTCAGTTTGAAATCTGGATGAATGCTAAAGTTTTAATTTAAGTTCCATTTTCTTTAATTTCATCAGTTAATGTTCTTGCTGGTGTTTCTGCTAATTAAATAAAACCGCTTGTATTGTGTATACTTAATTTTAGGTAAATTCTAATGGCTCATGATGGCCACCTTTACAGTGACAGCCCAGTTAGAAGGCAACTATCCAGATAAGACAGCTGTTAGTGTGTGCTTCCTCCCTCTTCTCCCTCTCCCCTTCCTCCCTCCCTCCGTCTTTTTTTTTTTTTTTTAAAGAACATTTTATGAACTGTAGTCTGTTTGCATTTTCATTGGAAAACCTATCGGGTGATATGGCAGGACACTTGGAACTGATCTGTAGGAGGGGGAGGAGTTACAGATCCAGCTAGTAGGGCAGTTGGTGAAGGAGACTTCTCTGTTCTTGAGTCATCTTGTGTGGTACTCTGAAGACAGGGATGGGCTGAACATGGACAGTGACTTGGAAACATTCCTGGAGAAGAGAAGCCCTGGTGTTAAGAAGCACTTGTAACCAAAGCAGATAGTAGTATGGAAGTTTGTGAGCAAGGAGGAGTTAGCCAAGGATGCTTGGAATCCTTGGTTTCTTATTATAAACCTGTGAGGTGATAAAAGGACTAAATGGAGATTTGAGAAATACTAGAATTCAAGTGTGTGTTGTTAAAATTCAGAGTATTCTAAGTTCTAATTAGCTTATTAATTCTCATTTATGTAGGCTCTTGGATCGCAAATGTGGGCAATAAGAAGTGTTTGTTTACTGTGTCTTCATTTGGACTATAGGAATCAAATGAGTTCTAGTGCAGCCGAGGCTAATTAAATTGACAGGCTCACTCATATGAATCATAAATGTTTCTTAGTGATAAGAGGATGGTCTTAAAGTCTGTCCTATTTGAAATGTCACTTTCTTTCTAAGCATCTTTCAACATTATAATGGGAAGTAGGTCAGAAATGTGTGCAGGGCATGAAGTGTGGAACCTTTTGACATGACAGTGATGCCAACAAACACGTGGGCATCATGCAGCCTGAGTGTCACAAGTTGCCACACCAGTTTAACACTCTTTCTGTAGTTGAAAATATTTCAACCTTGGTGATCAGTTTCTGTTATATATGTAGTTAAAAAAATTCACTTATCGGGACTGGAGAGATGGCTCAGAGGTTAGAGACACTCACTGCTCTTCCAGAGGTCATGAGTTCAATTCTCAGCAACCACATGGTGGCTCACAACCATCAAAAATAAGATCTGGTGCCCTCTTCAGGCCCACAGGCAAACATGTAGGTAGACCACTGTATACGTAATTGAATTTTTTAAAATAAAGATTTCATCAGTCAACTAACTTATTTCACAAAATACTAGCCTGAATTTATTACAGTAATGTAGAAAGAAAAGTTACCCATAAGCCACTAGCTGTAGGTCTGGTTTTGCCTTTAAGATTGAAAGCCTTTCTTGTTTGTCCATTGCATTTTCAAGGGTCCTTTGTGCTACATTGCTGTCTTTTAAGGCATCCCTAGCTACATTTCCTTCATTTGCCATAAGCTTTTCTTGTATTCTGGATCTCCCATTATTTTTATTGTTCATCAATCATTTCCACATAATGATTAAAATGGCTGTTCCCATCACTATTTTGTAGCTGAGCAAGGTGCATGTCCATGGTGGCTTCTGATTACCTCTGTGCACAAACATCCAGCCACAGCGGGTGGGCTGTGTGGGTGGAAGAGGAAGCGTCTAGTTGTCTGGATATATGCCCACATATATGTAAATGGACAAACAGGACCCATCTTACCCTGATTTATGTGTTGTTTTCAATTGGGTTTTACCATGTTAAATTTGAATAACTCTAAATTTTAAAAACGGTTCTATTGGCTTTTATTTCATCAGTGAAGAACTTGCTATAGTGACCCTTGGATCGGGAGAATGTATTCATTTAACTCTTAGTACTTGGTAAGATTGCTCATTAGTTGAGGGCTGATCATATCCCAGTTTGTTTGTTGATGACCATATCCACCTGTATTCCTCCCTTGAAACTACAAATATAACTGGACTTTGTACAAGGACAGTGGAATGGAAAGGTAATGAATCAGTATTTGAATGATTGAAATATTTTTCTCCTTAACAAACTTAGTGCAAATAATTATTTGAAGATTACTCTTAATTTTAAATGGTACTTGGTAATTAGGTGTATTTATAATTATGTGGCTACCCTTTTTTTAGTATTATAGCAGCTATATAAAATAATGGGTTCCAGGATAACATTTTCCATAAGTTTTGGTCCTATTTCCTGTTGTTACTACCCTTCTCTTTTCCTGTGACCCTATGGCTTTTGTAGAAGTGTGGGTCTGTCTAAAGACAGATCACTAGCCTGGGGTTCAGAAGACTCTGATGCAGCACGAACGTTGCTAATTAACTAGATGACTGACATTGAGGAAGCCCTTCAATCTCTGCCCTAGTACCTGGAGATAGTGACTAAAATGACATAGAAACGGGGCAAAAATGACCACATGCAAATATTCTTTTAAAACATCCAGGACAGTGTGGTGCTAATGATGGTGATAAGGAATCCCTATCTGTTCTTTCGGGATACTGAAACTTAGAAACTGAAACCTTCAGAGTGAATTGAAACAGGAATTTCAGGGAACCATGCTGAAGGTGCTAAGCAAAGATGACATTAAAAAACCCATTGGCAACTTGTTTTTACTGATTTCCAAGGTTGAAATATTTTAATCAAGGCTATTAAGAATTAGTTTCAATAATTCTGTTACATGTAGCTTTAGTTTTAATAAGGAATATTTACAGGAATGGCATCCAAAGCTTATCATTAAAATACCATATAATGAGAAGTCAGGGATAGTGGGAAACTGTGGATTGGGTATGTTGGGTGTGTGTGCTAGAGGTAGATAAAAACCATTAGCGATTTCAAAAAAGTCTTCAGAATATTGTGAGTAGTGTGAAAACATTTGTTCAGAAGAGGTTGGAATTACTCCGGGAAACTAGTAGAAGGCTGTTTCTGGGAAAGCAAACAAAACTAAAATGTTCTCTTTGGGATAGAGGATAGATCCTAGGGTAGAAAGGAACACGAAGTGTTTGGGATGGAGGGTGGATCCTCGAATAGAAAGGTACACAGTTTTCTTTTAAATTTTTAAAAATTTACTGAAAAAAAAAAATAGCACCCTGTTTTCATGTACTTGAAAAGATGCTATATTGACAAATGTACATTCCTTTCAGATGGCCCTGCTGAGGCACCAGTGACCAATGGGAGCGCAACCACAGTGCCACCTCTGAATGACGATCTGGACATTTTTGGACCAATGATTTCTAATCCTTTACCGGCAACGGTCATGCCCCCAGCTCAGGTATGCAGTGAGACATGGTTCTCTCTATGACCACCGCCTCTTTTTGAAAAGCTCCAGAAATTTAACTGGAGCAGTCATTGAAAACCTATTCTTTAGGCCAGGGCTTAGCAAACTAATCTTGCAGTTTCATTGTGTTTAAACAGATTCAAAGTTTTATTCAAACACATTGACTTACAGTTTCCAGGTACTTGGAGGCTAAGCAGCAGAGATAGTTACAGTAGAGACTGTCATGACCCACACAAGCAGACTTTGCCATCCTTCAAGTTTAAACCTTGTGTAGGGAAACTATCTAAAATGCATATGTGGCCGTGGGGTGGGAGACAGCGTCACCTGAGCTTAGCTCACAAGCCACTGTTACTTTGTCTTTATTACATTCTGATGTGAGTGGGTTCTAGAAAATTGTATTTCTCTAAGTTAAATTAGGCTTTAAGTTAGTCTTTAAAATCTTGCTGTTTTTGAATGATTAAACAACTGTTGAAAGTGGTAATAAGATTTTTAAATTACTAAGAGTGAAGAAATTCTGAATTTTTTGTAGCATTACATAAAATTTCCTTCAGGTAAAACATTAACTTTCAGGGTACAATTTAAAGTCACTTGCAATCCTATGACACTATGTAGACCTTCTTATATTGGAACACTACAAATAAACAGCCAGTACATTTTAGATGCAGTATATAAAATTTGGAATATGTAAAAGTTTTAATAACTAGTCTGTCTCTTTGAGACAAATGATTTATTATACCTAATTTTGTTACAAAGGTTATTGTATACTTATCTCAAATTTAACAAGTAAATTTCTTGGTAATTTAATTAGGCTACAATGAGTTGTTATCAAAGGTAAGTATAGCAATAGCATGTATTTTAGGAAAGGTAGCTAGCTTCTTGGTGACTTTGGGCCTTTTAGTTCCTATTGCAACTCATATCAAACAGGGCCTGGGGAGATGGTTCATTCAGAAAAATACTTGCCATGCAAACATGAGGTCATGAGTTCAGATCCCTAGCGCCCACAGCACAGCAGCATGTGACTGTAACCAGTGCTGAGGTGGTAGGAAGGCAGGTAGATTCCTGAAACTTCATTGACTAGTCAGTTGGTAAGCTCCAACTTCTAACCTTTATGCTTATCAAGTTCTAGCCAGTTGGTAAGTTCCAAAGACTAACCTTTTGCTTTGCACATTCTTATTAGTACCTCATAGGAAGGTAAGGTGCTTTCTCTCTCCCTCTCGTCCACCCCCACCCCCCCCAACACACACACATTCACTCACAGAGGCTGATAGAGAACCTTAGATTCTTCCAGAACCGTAGTTACAGGTGATTGTGAGTCACCAAGTAGGTGTTGTGAAATTAACTTAACCTGGGTCTTCCATAAGAGCAGTAAATGCTCTTAATCATTGACTTGCCTCTCCAACCCTGTGATTTTAAAAATCACATCTAAATTTTTTTCTTGAACACTTTATGAACCAAAATTATGCTGGTTGTATTGAGTCCTGTGAAATACTTGATGAAAAGAATTGCCTTTTATCCAAACTACATGCTAAGATTATTGCCTTTGCCAGGAAAGGTTATCTTACATGTGTACATTCAGATGAACCTGAAACTATGAAGATTACTAACTGTGGTAGGCTTTTTAGTGTATGAAATTGAGCTGTAATTGGGTTTAAGTACCAAGGTCATGACTTACTTTGAACCATATTTAACTTTGTTTTCTAAGCATGTGTAAATATGAAATAGCCAACAAGAGTGTACATGTATAGGGGGTCCACAGTAGCCCTTTGCTGTCTGCACATACATGGAAGGGAAAGGAGACATAGAATATGAATATGTAGAAATGCACAAGTGCTGATTACTGCCCTTGGTTTAAGTCTTGGGATTTCCAAAAGGCCAGAAAACCTGAATCGTAAGACAACATGGTTTTCCTTTTTTTACCTTGGTGGTGAAATGATGGTAAGTACAATCCTAGTAGATAAGCAGATCAGGTGCTGGCTAGCTGTGCCAGTTAGACTGTCCAGTTTTATCAGTCTGTGTTGCGGTAGATGTACTTGACATTTAGATCATGAGAATATTCTTCAGACTCCTCTACTATGAGGCTAGCATCAGTGTTTCCTCAACCCCTCTCCCCCCCCCCCCCATGGACTCTCATTCATCAAGAATCCGAGGGCTGGGAGGTGGTGGTGCACATCTTTAGTCCCAGCACTAGGGAGGCAGAGGCAGGCGGATCTCTGTGAGTTCGAGACCAGCCTGGTCTGCAAGAGCTAGTTCCAGGACAGACTCCAAAGCCACAGAAAAACCCTGTCTTGAACCCCACCCCCCCAAAAAAACAAACAAAACACCCAAGGGGTTGAGTAGAGTCCTATCTTGCAGAGAAGTGAAATATGGTGAAAGGATCTTGTAGTGATGCCCTGTGGTTACAAAGCCCACCCTCATTTCATACGACAGAAATCAGGTGACATACAGAGGTGAGGGCACCCTCTCCCAAGACACACCGTCTCCCAAGACTCAGGGGCAGGGATCTAGTCCAGCTGGGAAGCATTCTATTGGTCTCTGTGATCCTGTGCTTCTTCAGATAAACAATACTATTCATTTTAGTATTCTGTCATGTCTAATATCTTACACATTTTAGAACTTTAGCAAAATAAGATGTCTTACTCAGTCATAATAAGTTTGAATAAAATGCTTTGACAGTATTTTACTACAAAGTGTTCTACCCAGGACAGTGAGAATTTAACTTCCACTTGCTACTCACTTCAGGCTGTAGTTTCAGAAGAGTGTGAGCCAGCATTTACTACTCTTCAGAGAATCTTTAACCAGACTGTCAGCTGTGATTATGCAATCCAATCTTTGTGTAAGTAGATTAAGGGGAAACTTGTATTATCTAAATTACTTGTGTTGATTTGCTTCAAAATAGCATGCAGGATTTGCCTGAATAGAGGTAGCCAATTTTTTTTCTGTACTTAACTTCTGGATTTGAGGCATTCTTGTAGACTAGTAGGTTCTTGTAGACTAGTAGGTGCTTAAATGTTTTATGGTGAAAAGGTAATAACAGTTAGTCTGCCATTGTAGAACTTTTGCTTCTGCAAATTGTACTGTTCTTTATTCCAAGTGACACTAATTCTTGAGAGAAGCAGTGGCAGTCTTCTGTACCTGCAAGTTTGTCAGACCCTTTGAATTCAAGAAGTGATGAGCACAACCTGTTTTGTCCCATCTACTGAATGTGGCTTTGAAGGAGCTTCAGTCTCCTTGGTTCACACTAACAGGTCACATTGTGAAACCTTTGTACCTTCACCTAGTTGTTTTTGTTTGTGTGGGCTCAAAAACAATCTTTATAGATGTCACCATTTTACCGGTTGTAATTTACTCCACATTTCATAATAAGTTGTACTATATAGAAATTGACAATTTTGGTGTTTACCCAGGGGACAGCCTCTGTACCAGCAGCTGCTACCCTGTCTACCGTGTCATCTGGGGATCTGGATCTGTTCACTGAGCAACCTACAAAGTCAGAAGAAGTAGCAAAGAAACAACTCTCCAAAGATTCCATCTTATCTCTGTATGGTACAGGAACACAGCAAAGCACTCCTGGTAATTGATGTTGAACTCTGCTTCCCGTGCATTACGGTGGTATTATAGAACTGTAACATCAATTGCATTTTCCTGTGGTAGTAGTGGATGCTTCTCTTGCAGTCTACATGACTGAAATGAATGAAGCATTAGAATTAAACAATGTAGTAGTCACAAATCTTTATTCATTTGACAGGTTGTTCACATTTCACTTTTCTACAAGTTTATAGGACATGTCTTGGCTTGGAACAATTACTGGAATTAGAATTACATGAAGTTTGACTTTCTATATACACTGGTTCCTCTACAGGCAAACAAATAAGCAAAACTTAGAAATGCCTTGTCATTAAAAGCATGACTCACTCAGTTTTAATCAATCAGACCCTTTCCTCCTCAATAAGCTTGTCTCATATATAGACTAGAACTGTGTGGCCACTCACCTACTTTTCATAAAAGCAAATTACCACCTGGCTTACCTGCCTGGTTGGTTTGAGAGCCAGCAGTGTTGTCAGTAGGAGCAGCATGGGGCTTGTACAATAGACAGTAGTACACACTTGTCTCCATTATGGAAATAATAGGATCTGAAGGTTGAGGTATGGGGTGGGTTTAAGCTGACTGCTTGGTGGGTTACCTCTTTCTGAATGTGGAGATGAGTGCAACCAGAGTCTCTTCTTGACTTTTTAAATTCATGGTTCTTACCATACAGGTGTGTTTATGGGACCCACAAATATACCATTTACCTCACAAGCACCGACTGCATTTCAAGGTTTTCCTTCCATGGGCGTACCAGTGCCTGCTGCTCCCGGTCTTATAGGAAATATGATGGGACAGAATCCAAGCATGATGGTGGGCATGCCCATGCCCAATGGGTTTATGGGAAATACACAGACTGGAGTGATGCAACTTCCTCAGAATGTTGTTGGCCCTCAAGGAGGAATGGTAGGACAAATGGGTGCACCACAGAGTAAGTTTGGCCTGCCACAAGCTCAGCAACCTCAGTGGAATCTCTCACAGGTAGGGCTCATGAACTGTCTACCATCTCAAAATCCTAGAAGCCATGTGTAAATATAGTCTGAGTAGTTTGCTTTGAAATCTGATGTAGCAAAAGAATTAGTTAAAGTTTGATCAGATCCAAGTATTTATACATGTCATGAGGTTTTTATCAGATAGATGACTTGTTACTACTGTCCTTACTTTCAGAGTATTCTGTAAATAAACATTAGGATTTTCGTTTTTCCATTTCAGCCAGTAACAGGATTGTAATGGTGAAACATGCCTGATCTATCTGTACTAGCTAGTCCTTATCTTTTACAGCATAGGAGAGAGACCTCCTTAACTGCCACCTGCAAGGCTTAGTAGCAGCTTTACTCACTTCCTGGGTGGGATAATTTATTTAGTATTCCACTTACACCAGTCTTATCTTCACTAGTAAGCTTGGATTATTCTTGTTGGTTAACTCTTACCAATGAGAAAGAAATCCAGCGTCATATTATCAAACCACAGTTTTATGAGGGGTCAAGGCTGCCTCTGTCATATGGTTAGTGCCTGTGGATTTATGAGGAGCATCCAGTGAGAGTCCCAGTGATAGTAAAAAGTAAAAACCCTGCTTACCTCAAGTATTCACTGATATTACATTCCATATTTATGTGGTTTAGTTTCAAACTGAGGGGTAACATTTCTGTATTAAATGCTCTTCTGACTTTTCTGTAGCTCTGCAGAGGCTTTTGAATTAATGTTCATGTTCACATTCCCTTTCCTGCATCTTAGGGGGGTCTCGGTTCCTGTAAGACCAGTAGTTCTACCTTTAGAAAATTGATTTCTAATGAACATTAGCAAAATCACCCAATATCTCTCGAGTACATAAACCACACTGTTTACACACTGGGAACTAGTAAGTGCCAGCTGTTAGTAGCAGCTGTTCTGTGGCCAGAATGAGGAGGTCTACTCAGCTAGGGTTAAATTACAGATGAGCCAGTGAAGAACCACAGCCCTGCCAGCAAGGCTGTGATCTGCCTGCCTCTAGACACATTGGAGCCCTGGTGTTTTTGTGTATTACAAAAACCCTGCAAAAGGAACACACTTAACACTGGTCATGGGTTTGGAACTGTACTATGGTAAATCCTGCCCCTTGCTCTATCGTCAATCTTTGTAGTGAGAGAGTCACTGGGATAGCTAAGAGGCTGATAAATATACCGAACTCTATCTAGTCTGGAAGAAAATACATGTTATCTTTTAATTTTAGCTGTTACAACACAAAACCCAAAATACATGCTAGATGACCTTTCCAATGTTTAGAAAGTATATTAAAGTCATTTAGGATGTTAATAGAAAGTTTCAGGTATATTATAAATTTTAGGATGTTTTAATTTCTAAAATGTCTTGGTTCTTGGGAATCACAGAAGAATTACCCTTGTGTAGTTGAAAGACAGATGGACTGATACTCAGATACAAATTCAAAGCTTACTTTGGGATAAAATTTTGAATATAGAAAGTAAATTAAGTATGGATTACTTCACACACAGGAAAAAATGAGGAACAAAGCTATTTGATTTAAGTAGAGGGATAACTTGTACATGGTCTACTACCCCAGGGCTTAACTAATTTTCACATTAATGATGAAGTAAATGTCTGACTAGCTAAAGAATCAGGACTGAGAAGTAAATAATCCTCATAAACTAAGCCTTTTATATGCTTCACAGATGAATCAGCAAATGGCTGGCATGAATCTCAGTAGTGCAAACCCGACTGCAGGTTTTGGCCAGCCCCCAAGCACAACAGCAGGGTGGTCTGGAAGCTCGTCGGGGCAGACTCTGAGCACACAACTGTGGAAGTGAAAAGCTTCATCCAGAGTTTCATCCAGAATCAACACCCGGCATTCCTCACTACAGAGGCATCTAGTTCCCATTTATTCATGTACATAATGTATTTTCTTTTCCCCCATTTGTTCACACATTAACAATTACCTGATTGACCGTGTTGGTCTGTGCTGATTAAATTTGATGTGAAAGCAGGTTGAGAAACCATCTTCTGTGGAGGGCAGCTTTGCTCTTATTTCCCATGATGTCATAGGCCACAGTGAGAAGCTGCTCAGTTAACTCGCATAATCGGTTTTATTCTCAAAATTATAGCTCTAATGTTTGCATATAAGGGAAGTAGTTATCATGTTAGTAATACTTCTAACAGTATAAACCCCACCCCCAAATTAGCCAGTAACCCTGTAGGAAGGTACTGTATGATCAAATGTTTAATCATATAGAGTGTAAATGTATCACTGAACACTGTTTTCTAGTGTATCAAATTCTTTTATTCATCACTCATTTCACTGTGCTGTTATGATGTGCTTAACAGGGAACATGGTTAGTAAAAGGAGATAAACCTGGATGTTACTGTAAAACTTAATGTCTCAAAAATTCAAATTTTTGCTGTCTCTTGTAATTGGGACCTTTTCTCATGTACATAGTGCTAATATGGATACCTTTTCTCTGCACTATATGCACACAGGGTAACTAAAACAAAGCCACTTTTAATCCTTGAAGGTATATCCAGGTTTATGACAGTAATTGTGTTTACATTTTATGGTGCCTAGTATTGACAAAATGTTATTTCCCTATATTAAACAGATGAATCCACGCACCTTTTTTATTTGTGGGTTTTATTTCCTACAGTGTACACTGCCACCAGTACTTTGCAAATATTTCATGTTGTGAAGCTAAGAGTTGGGACTGTTAAATTGACAAAATACTCATCATTAGGTTCTAAAAACCTATTCCATCAGTTACGAGATGGCTTGAGGGAGGTAGGAGCAGTACATGGCACGTAAGTAGATTGTACAAAAAAATCTTTCCAATTACGTTTTAGAGAACACATGCAGAACAAATGAAGACAACACGTCTTGTAGCATCCAGTTAGCTGTTTAAACAGATGTCCATCAGCTGACAGGAACAACTGAAGGGAAAGGAACAATACCTGAATGAGCTGCAGCTAAACTCCAGACTTCCTCTTCTGCATCTGCTGGCTTTGTCTACACCTCAATGTTCACTGCGTCCAGGTGGTACTTGGGCTCATTGGCTAGATTGACTTTCTCTGTCCGAGTGTGCCACACGAGAACCTGTGGTGGAGGGGGACACTTTAAGCAGCTGCACTATCAGCACTCAAAGGTCTAAGAGCGTGAGGCAGATGAGTACCTTTGTGCAGTTGTTAGCTTTTGGTTCCAGTTCTTCAACTGTTGTTATCTGCTTTAGAAAGTCAGATTCCTGCATCCCTGGCTGAGATCCATGGCGCTTAAATACAGCTTTAGGATTGGACAAGATGACTTGCAGACTCACAGCAAATCCTTTGTGTGAAAAGAAAAAATTTGTAAGTGTGGCCACACGAAAAAGTACGAAAAAGTACAAATAACTTCTGTGTGGTTAGATTTGGGTAGGGGCATTGCCTGCATATAGTCTCAAAAGTTAGCTCGTGATTTTGTACGCTCTGAGGATACCTACCCACAAGATGAAGTCAAGATATTAATAAAAGGTGAGTTTCAGAAGCTATTACCTCAGAGAGGTTGCCGCGTCACCACATTTGATACTCTGCATTATTGCAGCCCTGTAGCTGCAGACAGATGCCTTAACCATGCTTGGGGTATTCGAATCTGGCCCAGCCTTCTGCTTTTTGACATCATCAGTGTGCGTTTTATCATCAACATCAGCACTGTTCCAAATGATTGGACATTGAGAAGATGGGTAGTGGAGTTATTATTGATCATGCAAAAGAAACAAATCTTATCATCATTACTTTCACACTTTAGGCATAAAGGAAGGGAACTTAGAAATCGGTACAGGCAGTATCAAGTTTTTGTATTTGAGTGTTCAAAATAAAAAGGGTATCACTTAATGGGAGAGCACTGGCCTCGCATGTGTTGAGGCCCTGAGTTCAACCTTCAGCACTGCAAAGACAAGCATGCACTCCCTCCAGTGGTTTATAGGAAGAGCTGCTGCTGTTTAACCTGCTGTAATCCTATTCCTAATGCACTCCACAGCAGACTCCACACGTGACTGTTTTACAAGGCTGAAGCCTGAGCCTTTGGTCCTGACAAGGTGACACAAAACTCAGGACCTTCAGGGGCTGATGGGTTGAGAGCCACGCCCCGGGATCTTCTCTGTAGAAACTGTGTATCCTCTTCTTGGCACTGGATTTCTGCTGCTTTTTGGGGAACTGTAACAGCATCAGACAGCAATAGAAAAGCTGCGAAAAGACGATGTCATCACTCCCATCACCTACAGATGCCAGACTGCTCAGTCATGTGCCCTGGACCCTGCTGCCTCTTGGAAAAAGTTAACACTTAGCTGTGTGCAACCAGGATGTGATCTAGGAATCAAAAAACCTGAATCCATAAAATGACCTTCAGACTCCAGTATCCTCCACCAATGCTTTATGGAAACACACCATGCATTCCAGTAAGCAATACTAAACTTGGAATAACCAGCCTTTTGGGTTTGACTAGATCCTTGCATTTGAGACACTGGCCAAGTCACTTCACCTTCGTTAACTCTATATAATGTCCCCATTTCTTAATGTGCAATGAAGTATGAAAGCTCAACCTTGGTATCTAATGTAAGGTAATATAAAGATTCTACCGACACAGCACTGTGCAGAAGACAATATGCAAATACAGATACTATTATTGTAAACGGATGGTACCAGCTACCATTTACAGCTGCAAAAAAATTCTAGTAGACAGGTAAAGGACTTGTGAAAGTCTGGGGGAGGGGGGAAAGTGGGGAGGGTAGAGCCAGACCACATGCATGTCATGTGACTGCCAAGAGATCTGAAATCTTCAGACACAGCTAGGTCAGCACAGACTTCAGCAATACAACCAAAGCCTGAAGGTAATAACTGCCTTTTGTCATGAGGCCAAATCAGATTAATGAATGACTTCTTGCATGTGCTTCAACCTTTATTTAAATGGAAGTCTGTCCTCAGTCATACTGGCTCTTCTAACGTTCGTTGCATGGCTTCAACGTGATTTTTATATCATGATATTCATATGCACACACTGCTCCAAATTATGCATAAGTAATTCTGAAAAAATGAAGCCATTTAGACCCACTTTCCTTCATTGTCCCTTAAGCTGTTAAACTCATCACCTGAAAGAAGATTAGATGAGTATTTTCTCCATTTCCCTGGTTCAGGAATATCTCATAGTAATGTGGGGCTACTTGGTAAAACAAAGCACAGGCCACAGCCAGTCCAGAAGCGGGGTGCCCTCTTTGTCATTGGAGAATGATATGATATATACATGCACCTGAACAGCGGTGCACTCAAAGACCTTAGGGAATGGCTTATTCTGGGACCAAAACAACCTACTTTCTAACAAAGGCGGGGGGGGGGGGGGGGGGGGCATGATCCTCATTCCTCATTCATTTACCTTGGTTGGTTCTGCCCATTCTCTGCTGAGGAAGCAGGTCACAGCCAGCAAGCAGACATCATAAGGTAAGTAGGCCAAAGTGGGCTGCTTTGGGGGAAATCCTCTGCTCTGATGAGATGCAGTATCCCTTGGAAAGAGGCAGGAGTTTTAGCTCCTGACCATTCATTGATTTCTGTGGGTGTCTTGGGTTTTCTTCAGCTTTGCAAGTATTTGTGCCTCGAGCATTATATCTTCAGTGACTGGTTTCGCTTTAAAGATACTGCTGTGTCTTTTAAGGTATTAGGATCCAGACAAAAGCCAGGAGTAGGATTTTCTGTCTGGGTCATAGAGAAAAATTAACATTTAACAATGGGGAGGGAGAGTGTATTCCCTAATAGGCACGTGGGACGGCTTGCCTCAATATACAACATACTTATTGAATGCAGGCTGGAAACAAGGTGGAACATTGGAGTATCCAACAATCCATTCAATTTCTAGACAAGGTAAAACCACAGGGGCATTGGAGAAGAGATGGCTTTTTGGCTAAGAGCATTTACTGTTCTTTCAGAGGGTAGCCCACAATCATCTAAGTCCAGCGCCAAGGCTCTGACACCCTCTGATTTCTGTGGGCACCAAGTATGCACATACATACATGCAAAGTGCTTTTTTAAAAAGCCAAAGAATTCCATAAACAAGAAGTGTTCAGACGGGAGTGAAACGCACATGCCTGAGCTCTGAGAATAGATAAATGTCAGCCCTAACGTGGCCAGAGCTGCTCTCAAGAGGCCACTTCACAAGCAAGGAACCCTCCAAATTCTACAGTTTTCTTTAGTTGACAACTGAGAGCTTGATTCGGAAGCCATAGCAAGAATTTGCAGAGCAAAAAGCTCTGCTGGTGGGTAGAGGCTCTCAAGCCTTCACTGTAATCAGCTAATGCCTGCAGAAGTCCCCAGTCCAAGTAGAGAACTAGAAAGGAACAGGTGAGTGGAATACTCCCTATTATCAGCAAGAGCACAGCAATGCAGTAGCATCTTGTTTCACCACTGGACTTGCGCATGGGACAAGATATCTTCATTGTATGTGTCTTGAGGTCTATATCAGCAGCCTGCATGAACATGGAAGATACTGGCTGATGCAGGGTCAGATTAGCTTTGAAAGCTAAGCTAAGATGCTTCTGCATAAATGTAAAACAAATCTTAAACAGATAAAAGTGCCTCCAAATAACATGGTCGTGTCCCAGCACAAAGCTCAAAAAGTATTTACACATTCACAATGCACCATATATTATGTTTATGTGTTCATACTATAAATTCATGCATATCAATCATTATCCAACAATCTATAATTCAAAATGGCTCAGCACCGAAACTGCCTGATGTACAAAGAAGCAGGAAAATAAAATGGCATAACAGAAAAAAACAACTCCATAAAGGATATAGAGTATAATGAGTATACTCTGTTAGAGTATGCATGTTTCATATTCAAGAAGACTGAAAAGAGGTGTGCATACTAAGATAAGGGACAAGGTCATCTCAATAATAAAAATACAAGGAGATATAAATTGTCCTGGGTAGATTACATGAAACATAAAAGACCAGTAAAGATATACAATAATGACACTTCTAAAATGAGATAACAAGACTAGTGTTCGAGGAAGACAAATCTATGAAGAAATGATGACTAAAAATTTCCACCTTTCATTCAGTGAAGATAAGTAAAAGCCTGAACAACCCTGTCAGCCAACATAACCCAAAGAAAGATCACGCCAAGCATAGTAGCATCTTAACAAATCTTCACATAGGATTGGAATGTTATCAGTCAAAGCATAGTAGAAGACATAAACCACTTCCTCAGAACTTAAAAACCAAATAATTACTCAACAGCAAAGATTAGGAAACTGAGTAAATTACAGGTCAAAGAAATCAAGGCAAATGAGAAAGCTAAATGCAAGTGAAAAAAAACCATGAAAGTCTGAGTCTAAGGTGGTATTTGGAAAACTATAGCAGTGTGCACATGTGTGGGATGTAGAAGTGTGTTTACAGGGTGTAGAGGCCAGAGAAAAATACTGAGTATTTTCTCTTACCCTCAACTTTATTTTGGGGAGAGGGACCCAGAACTGACCAACTCGCTAAACTGGCCGGGCAGCAGGCCCATTAGATCCTCCGGTCTTTAACTCTCACCCATCCTGGAATTATAGGCATGTGCCATCACGCCCAGCCATTTACATGGGTGCTAAGGATCTGAACTCCAGCTTCATGCCTGTGTAGCAAGTGCATAACTTACTGTGCCATCTCCCCAAATCGGTTTTTAAATACAAGGTGTCACTATGTTGTCCAGCTGCTCCTATAGACTAGTTTGAGACCTCCTGCCTCAGCTTTCTAAGTAGCTGAGATTATACAGAACATTACACCAAGCATGACAAAAATAGTTTCAAAAGTATCTCTAAATGCTAAACTAGAAAGATGAGGTCCCAATTTGACAAACTAGAAAACAAGCAAAACCAAGTAGTAAAGTACTATTAAATGTAAGAGCAGGAATCTGCTTCTTGGAAGATGAATAAGCTGACTGTGATGGTGTGTGTGATGAATGTTTCCCATAGATTCTGGTATTTGTATTTGAACTTTTAGTCCCCAGTGGTGCTTCTTGGGAAGGATTGGGAGGCATTTTACACTAGGGCAGGCATTTGAGAGTGCACAGCCTCACACTACATGTGTAGTTTTCCTGACTTTGAAGATGTGAGATCTCTGCTTTCTACTCCTGACACCCAGCCTGCTGCTTGCTGCTACACCTGCCCACTACAGTAGATTCTTGTCCCTCTAGAATTGTAAGACCAAATACACTCTTCTATAAGTGGCTTCTCATCATGATGCTTTACCACAGCAACAGAAACATAACTAATACCATGTTAAATATCCTCTCATAATTTCCTGAGAAGTAAAAGG